GTAAGGAGCACTATGCAGCCTCAACTGAAGCTTATGGATTGTGTGAAGTCCTACGAAGAGACTGCCAAGCTAATAGCTGCCATGATAACTTTCCATACATTGAGTCTAGCTGGGGCATCGGCCTGGTGTAAGATGGCTGCTGTGAATGTGAAGATGACCACTTTTACTAAGGAGCGCAAGGTGCCTGGTGAAGCGTACATCATCTGTGTGCGAGAACTGATGATTGTATTTGGTTGCTGCTCTGATGTGCTGTATAAGGGTCAAGGAAATTGATGTTCCCACTAACCTACGACCAGACGAGTTATGTGATGCTTCTGTTGTTAGTCTATCCCAGTCAGTTGATGGTGCGTTGAAGTCTGCTAGGACTAGGCATCGGCATTTATCTGTCCAGAGGGTCAGCTTATTCAGGAGGAAGTCTTCTGCTCCATATTCAGGGCTTCGAAATACTGTGATCAGGTTAACATCGTGTCCCAATGCATTTTAGTCAGGATTTCTCATGTCCCATTTTCATGTGCATCCTTTTCTATAGCCCTTACAGTCAGGGTATTCTTAACGTAGAGGATGACATCACCACCTCTACTTAGAAAAGGAACGAATCCTCGTAAATAAGTTTCACAGTCACTAATCTCAGAAGAGAGCCAAGTTTCTGAGATACTAATGATGTCACGACTTCCTAGGCCTATTACTGAGCTCAGTCCACCTCAAGTGCGTTAGTGTACACGACGATAAAGATACTTGAGTGAGTTTTCGTCCTATTCATAGAGGCTTCGGCATCATTTGTTGCCGAAACCTCACTACACGAGAACCAATCACTTTTAGATCTTTCTCCCCTGCAAGTAATCTGGGTTTTAGTTCTTCTGCTTGTCTTTTTTTGATTCAATCAGCAAAAGGCAAATCCTCACAAACTGGACTGTGTACAAGTAAGTAGCAAGCACCTGTCGGATAGGTGACTTGGGTTTTCTGCGATGAATGGAAGGGCTGGCCATTTGTGTGCATTCTTCGTCGGCTAAACTGAAGCATGAAGAATGACTTTGAGAGCTAAATCTCTTCTTTTTGTCGTATTCTAGACGAAGAGGACAATCAATCATGCCATATATAATTTTAGTAAATGACTTCGGATCTGATATACCTTCTTTACTTCCCACTTGGTGGGATTACTGCAGAGGGCATAGCAAGAGAGTGGAGAACCAAAGACAAACTTTCTCACTGTAAACTCCCGATTTACGTGTTAGTTAAACAACTCGGAACCGATTCTCAGAAGAAGTGGTATCCACGTCATCAAGTGACACATTCAAGAGAGAACTATGGAGACGTAGAGGTCTATTAGGAAAGGAATATTATCATTAAACCAACAGTTCGAATCAGTGTTGGATTATGGAGATTTTCCAGCACTAACTTTGGCACATATTATTAGGTAAATGTTCTTTTGGAAATATAATTGCCTACTGTGTTTTCAATCGATCCTGATGCACTCCTAATGACTACCATTGTGAACAAGTTTATTGCAAATAGTAAGAACTGCTAACTGGAGAGACCTTTGGTAACTAAGTATACTAGTCAGTAATCGATTACTTCCAGCTGTTTAGAGATGAAATGATGATTTCTGAGTTAGTTGGACATCTCACCAGAAGTAATTATTCAGGCATAGTTTCAAATTGAATAACTGCATCGAGATTTCTACCGTCACAATAACGACTTATTAAGTCGCCAACTTTCGAATGAAAATTGGGAGGGAGGTGGTGAAATCTGGGATACAAACTTGGCCTACCGGAATATATTGGTGTTTCCATTATCATTGAACTATGAAAGTCTTTTTCTGATTAAGAGCGGTTCGATATGGTAACAGTTGATTCAGAACAGAATACATCAAGTTTTCGAGGTAGTATTCATGACGGACTGACATCAGTTGGAGAACCGCTGGAGCATCGAACAGCTGTTTCGTCCTGGCATGGGACTCCTGAGCAGTAGACACCTACGACCCGGTTAAGGATCGAAGTCAGGTCTTACGGCGAATGCGTTAACGAGCCGGTGCGTTTGAGTACAATGGTTCACGTTTCCCAACTCCTGTCAATTCACGGTATAGCGTCACCATCACCCAAGGTCTATAGATGGCGTCCACTTTCCTTCTGACTGGTTGACCCCACAGGTCATGGCTTTTCATTTGCACTTCGGGATATCCAAGTGATGTCAGTCCGTGACGAATGCCACCTCTAAATTAAAATCCCCATTCACCACAATATACATTGCTGTATACTACAGTACCCATTAGTGATTTATTTCCAAATGTTCTAATGATAAACGGTGACCTGTGGGGTCAACCAGTTGGAAGGGAAGTGGGTGCCAACTGAAGTCCTAGGATGACGGTCGCAGTATATTGTGAATTGACAGAATTTAGAGACTCTGAACCGTCGAATTCCAATGTGGTGACTAGGTGGTTAGCGCATTCGTCGTCAAACCCAAAGGGTCCACAGTTCCATCCCTGACCGGGTCGTGGTTGCGTACTGTCGAGGAGTCCCATACTAGGACGACACAGCTGTGCTTCCAGGTTTTCAATAGTTCTCCAACTTGTATGAGTCCGTGATGAATACTACCTCCAAAAAAATCAGATCCCCATTTACCTTGGGATACATCAAATTTTACTGGTATTCGAGTTTCTTGCGAGCATTGACATTCTTTGCATCCCAGCATGCTTTTTTCGTGGAGATAGACAAGTTTTCCATAATGGTCTTTCAGTGATTGCCTATCGAGCCTGATGAGTTTAACCATTTACAGAATGAAGTCATTTGTTTTAGTTGCATGGATGCAACCGACAGGAAGCCGAGGATGTAGGTTTTGTGCTTTTTCGCACCCACTAACGAGGCCTTTCTGCAACCCCGGTGGAACTAACTTCCATCCTGGGATTCGAACCGGTGCCACCCAGTGTTATAGTCAGCAACGTTACCACTGAGCTATTCTGGTCACGACTGACCTGTAGGACTGGATTAGATACACTGACTGGCCACTGGAGGGTAACCAACTTCATTTTATCTAGTCCTAAATGATCGATAGAATTCGGTCAGCACTTAGGACTAGACAAGATGAAGTTGGCTACCTTGCAGTGACCAATCAATGAAGTCGTTTGTATTTACAAGCACAGTTAGTTTGGTTTAAGTGACTTTGTTGTATTTCGTCAAAACAGGATTCTGCATATCTCTTTTGAAAATTAGGATATTGAAGAAAAAGCTTTATGCTGGTTTGATGAATGAGTTAAACAATTCTTACCATTTTGACTTCATATTCGAAATCAACGATTTTGCGTGAGCAATAAAAGATGTATGCAGTGGACTTGGATAAGATTTAGCTCGACAACAAATTAACCAAGAGTAATTAATACTACTAGTGGGTAATTAGTAGTTCAAGACGAAAAGCATAAAAGAGTATGAGTAAGAGATGCAGTCATAAAAAGGAAACAAAACGATACGCTTGTAAACTACATAGTCCACCATGAGAATGACACAATCATGAAGTCCCCTAGTAGTTTCTTTAGGAATCGAAGTAGTCAGACTAAGATGAATGATTTCAGTGTTTGAGAGCATGAAAGGCATGTCATGCCCACTGCTGATTGACATGAGTAACTGTAGGCGTTGTACACCGATAAGCAGTGATCACCAGTCAGATAGAGATGATTTAGACACGATATGGTTGTTCCACCCGTTCTTGGGAATAGCTCATCATTACAGTAGCTCGACTCCATATTACACATCAGCAATTCACTCAAGTCGCTAACCAGAATAAAAATGAACGATTTAGTTCTTTGAACTGAATCATTTTCCGGTACACCGCTGATGAACTCAACCCTGAAATGAGCGAAATAGACGTCTAGTGCTTACAACGCCTCAATCTGGCTATCGAGTGTCGTTATTTGTGGTGTACATCTGCTCACATAAAGTGCTAATGAATATCGTCAGACTAAATACAAATTTATTGATGCTGTTTTATATTTTTTATTCGTCGTTGCTATTCTAGTTTGGCTTTAGATATCTTTTTCAAGTATTGTGAATTTTTCAATTATACAGTTTTCTCGTAGTGAGTTTAGTTTGATGCTATTTCAAACTTCACAAGTGAATGCTCAATTATCCTATTATATTTCGTCGGATGATTGCATATATCTTACTGCAACACAGCGTTAATTTGCTGTTATGATGACTTACAGAAGAATTGAAAACTCAGGTCTCATCCTGTTTGAGAGTCATCAGCAAGACGTACCTAAATCCCAGCGAAGAATTTCATTCACACTGAGGCTGGAACTCAGCACCGATAACTTCAAATACTGGACAGTTATCCCATAGGTTAATGCGTCACAATAGTGACTACTTGTGTGATGATTATATTTTGATATTTTAGCCTGTAGTTTTCTATCGCTGATTGAATTGATCGACTACCGTTTTCGCATTGTCGGATTGCCTTGGTGTTACCAGTAATTTTAGTCTCACAAAAATAATGCATAATGTTTAATGCAGTCAAATGTGAAGGATGTTGTTGCACGATTACACAACATTCATGGCTAGTTAGATGGTATATACACGGATCATTTCTCCTAGACCGATGCTCTCCGCAAACTGATCACTTCTTAACACTCACCAAAAAGATACTGTGATTGCAGCCATAAAAGTTGGAAATGAAGTTCAGCAAATCTTAAGGTAGGGATTACAAGATCTACCAGTAACTTTTCAGAATATCTAGACAAATACTGTAAAAGATGACATCTCAAGAACTGTTAAAAGCTCGTAACATTCCCCTTTTTTATGGTAACGAACCGAAGTGAATTGAATTTATTCCCGAGGGAAATGAATGAGAGTCACCAGCAACTGCTTCTAGTTATTAGACGAAAAAATAGGCGAAATTCGGCAACCATCTCACAGACCAACAGTCAGGGACTGACATCTTGGTTTGGCTGTTTACTAAATCTGAAAGAGAAAAATGGCTATGTACACGTAACAGGTTTCCCAATAAACAAAGTTCATGGTTTAACTTTTATTTTGCTAAATAGCACAGTAAATTACACATAAATATGTATACAAATATAAACAAAAATGTCATTTATCTGACACGTTTTCGTGATCTTTCTGGTGACTGCCTATTATCATGGATAACTTGTAGGGGTACATGTCGAGTTACAACCGAAATCCCGTCGGTAAACTTTGTTTTGAACAGTACATTGGCATTGTTAAACATTCCGTCTTTCAGAGAAACCACTATGAACTGTATATAGAGAAAAAGAAAAGTGAGTATTACGAGATGGGTCAAAAAATTCAATGGAGTAATGACCTAGAATGCTACAATATTTGTAAAATACACTAGGCGTAATGCCTATTGAATAAACCATTACAGTTGAGACATTAATCGCAGCGTTTACAAAGTTATGGTTAACATGACAACCTAATTCACTGTATCATTTGATTAACAGACTTAAAAATAAAAGTGCACGACATTAACCATTCACGTGTCCTCTTGGTTACAAAACGTATCAATCACTCAGACTATGAGCAATACTAATTTGTAAACTTATAATAAACCCAGTAGTATTATACAAGAAATCTGTCAACTAAATTACTACTCAAAAGTCATATCATGATATCAGAGGGTGTTACGACAGGCGCAAAACAAATCCTGTGGATCGATTTGTCACTAAATCAGCTATCTGATGCTATAAGCGGTAAGGGGTGCCTACCAATCCATGCTGATGCTGCCTTCCCTACGGGAAGAAGTTATAGTTAGAAAAGGCCACCCCAAAAGTAGTGGTATTCAGGCGCCAGCAGTAAGGTTTTCATAGCTGACTGTGAATCAATCAAAGCAAAATCTGGAACGTCCAGAAAGGCTATGTGTGACTGATATCAAGTAGATGTCTCATGGGCTCTGTAGCTACGTAGAAAAATTCTTTCACTCTTTCAGGCCTAACGGTGTCCACAACCGAAGAGGACCAACTATACGCAAGCTCCTAGCAACCTAGCTACTAAACACAATCTAATGAATTTCAAACTAAAATCAATTAATAAATCTCCACAAACCTTTAGGTAGAACTAATCTAGCGCTCGTTGGTAACTACCTTCGACAGGTGATTCCCGAAGTTCCAATGAGAAGTTGTGACCAATGGAGTCAACAAAGTCAAACACGAGATTAGTTACTCAATGACGACATTGGATGTAGGTCGTGCTATATCGTGAACGGATAGAAGTTGAGAATATGAACCACTGGATTCCCACCCAGTGGCACAATCGTAACGTGCTGGTCACGGAACCTGAAGGTCCTGGGTCCGGTCCCTGGCGGTGTCGTTGGCGCACACTGCTGAGGAGTCTCATGCTAGGACGAGACAGCTGTTCAGGTGTTTAGTGTTCCTCCAGCCGAGGTCAGTCTGTGGTGAATTCCAACCTACAATCTACATTTCTTGATTTTTTATCTCCATTGTTGGTATCACTTCCTGTTATCAGAATTCAGCCGCTTACAACCCCTCATTTCGCAACTGTTGGTATCGATTTGAGGCAGCAAAAAATTATACATAGTCTCAGAAAATCACACTACCAATTTCACATTGAAACTTCTAATAAAGAAACTCTAGGCTAAGTCGAACAATAGGCATCTCTTGCAGAAACTCAAAGATGCTGACGTCATCGGTGCATACTGTGTTCTTGAGATACGCATACAGCACCCAAATTTGCTTATTCACTTGACTACCTGATTAATGCAGTGAATCTACAGAATTCAGCTTACAAATTTGTTTGGTTGTCCAATGATCAGCTCTCTTGAACTAGAAAATTGCCATATTTCTTGACATGACAACAAATTTTAGGGAAACAACTGGATGTAGGAATTATTATTTTCACACATAGTTAGCCTTCCCACACTCAAACAAACACTCAACAAAAACTAGTATGCAAAACTCAAGGGAGAAGATCATGTTTCGAGGAAAACACTGTGTCATTTGAAAGCGAAATTCTGATCTGAATGAAACTTGAACGTACTTGTGAATGCTGAAAATGATTTTTAATCAATTGACCAATATTTTGTGTATGGGATAAATCAAGAGCTGCATCCACTTCATCTAATATGTACAAAGGTGCAGGTTTGAAACGAAGCAAAGCCAAAATAAGCGAAAGAGCAGCTAATGATCTATATACGTTATGGAAAAACGATAACAAATTACAAGAATTTCTTAACAATGAAGTTACATATATCCTCAATAACATACTCCACTTGATTCAAGGAGTATTTGCAGACAAATGTATAAAACCTAGACAATGTCTAAATGGATAAACGACAAATTCATCCAATGAGTACAAGTCGGCATACTAAACCGCAACCCTAAAACGCTGTGTGTACTAATAATGTCTCCTGGTTAACAAACCTAGATATATGAAAGTGTTCGGAGGTAGAATTAACTGGTTGAAAAAATGGTAACTCAATTAGGAGAGTGAGATTTTGAAACAAGATGTGTATTACTAAGAAAGTGTTTTACAAAATAACACACCAAATACAGGTAAAAGAGGTTAAACAAGTCTCATATGTGTTAGAGATGCCTATATTCCATAATAACAGGTTTGTATATATTTGAACTGGTTTATTTCGCCCTCTTTTTCCTCGCGTGGGCCATATTTCCCATGGTCCGCTATTGTTCTGATTGGTTCCTGCCCCTTTTTATCGTACTAATTATTCCTTGTCTTTCAAGGTTAGTGTAAACTCTATAAATAGGGTCCGTTTTCCCTCATAAACATTCTCATTCCGAATTACTATAAACTCATCTGATTTCCAGTCCATTGATTTCTCTTTGCGAATCACTCGGGTTGGATCGTCTCAACCCTCAACTATCAATCGGTAAGTATCTTTGTTCGTTCTCACAACTCCGCATCATAGCAATATGTCGCTAAGGTGATATACGAAGTATCTCCTGTTGAAATATGGGAACATGAAAAAAAACATACACTGAAAGATATTGATTAAAAATTCGTAGAAAATAGGTATGTATGTATGTATGTATGTATGTATGTATGCATGCATGTATGTATGTATGTTGTATGATGTATGTATGTATTATGTATGTATGTATGTATGTATGTATGTATGTATGTATGTATGTATGTATGTATGTATGTATGTATGTATGTATGATGTATGTATGTATGTATGTTGTATGTATGTATGTATGTATGTATGTATGTATGTATGTATGTATGTATGTATGTATGTATGTATGTATGTATGTATGTATGTATGTATGTATGTATGTATGTATGTATGTATGTATGTATGTATGTATGTATGTATGTATGTATGTATGTATGTATGTATGTATGTATGTATGTATGTATGTATGTATGTATGTATGTATGTATGTATGTATGTATGTATGTATGTATGTATGTATGTATGTATGTATGTATGTATGTATGTATGTATGTATGTATGTATTCAATAGAATACGCTACCTAGATGACGATAGTACTGGAACAAGTAATATCATAATCCTGTGACGAAGAAAACTACTGAGTTGAATTGAAAAGGAATATATTTCTTCACTCATTGAGTCTTTTTTCCAATGTAATGAACCAGCATCGTTGAGAAAAACAGATTATTCCTCATTTCTTTATTACACATTATCTTGCCCACCAAACCATCAATGAACGATTATATTTTCGGTAGCATTTGCAGATAATGAAGGAATAACCAAGATGATGGACTTTTCATTGAATGGTTACAGATTAAGAGGTCAACGTTTTAATGCTGATCGCAGTCTATCGATCGCCTCACCATGCTAATGAGTCTAGACAAGTATGAAAAGTATGCCTACTACTTCACACTGATCGACTCCCAAAACCAACTAGTGAATGCTAGAATCAAGGACTACAAATAACACTAAACATTTACTGCGAAACGCTCAAACATCAAGCAAGTTAAATTTAAATAGTAAATGTTAAGATTTACAAATTCACGTGAAACGGAAGTAAATCTATCAGGTAACCAAAGTGAAACCTAAGCAAGATTATATTTCTAAAACTGTTTTTCTACAATGGTGCATTCATCAAAATGGTTTGAAAAAAGAGCATATTCCTTTCAAATGGCTCCCGCTTAACCACTCTAAAACAAGGGGGTAGATAAAAATAAGCAAAGAAACGGTTAGTTTACGATAAAGCATGCGCTCTCACGTGAGACTAACTTTTGTTACCGTACTGAAAAGCTAAATAGAAACCGCAGTAACGCAAAACGTTTCTACATGTGGAATACGACTACAGTTTCCTAGCCTTTTAGCGTTGTTTTACAGAGCAACAATATATCGTTTTCAATATACTTTACTGGGGGACTATCAAAATGCTTGATGACGGCTCTTCATATTTCCGTAGCTAAACCCTTTTCTTCACATATCATGTTTGTTTTGCAATATTCATCAAACAAAGGCTGAACAGAAGAGAAAAATATTGTGGGATGTATACATCATAACAGACATTAAAACCATACTGGAATTCAGACCAGGTGATTATCTAAAATACAACTGAGCGCAGTTAAACTCATACCTTTGACCACCACTTAATTCTGCAAGGGAATCCTTCCATACATCACCAAATGCAACCTTGATTTCTAATCCATCTAGAACGGTTAGCTTCTCGGGAGGAGACAGGCGAGCTCGACTTCTGGGTAACAGAGTACCGAAAATATTATTAAATTCCTGAATTGTAAACAAAACAAGAAAAATCATGTTGACATCAAGGTAGGTAGAGAATAAAATATTATTTTTGATGTCTGTGCCTGAAGAGAGTACCTTTGAATGATCTCAAAAAATGCAAGAATCTTGATTTTGAACTGGACGCAAATCAGTCGAAACGATACCTGAAATTTTCGAAATAGCCTGGCGTCCAGCAGCATTAAGCATATGTTCCGTGAGCTCTGGGGTCTTGCACACACCACTATTAACAACACAATCCCTTTTCCACATGACTCAAAGATAAGAAACATTCCACGATAATGACAAGCAGATAGTGTTAACCAACATCACAATTCTGTCAGCTTTGAGTCACAAGGCAGAGAGTTCGCTGTTCAAAACTGCATCCCAGTTGACAGTAGCCTATGCATTGTTCAAATGAACAGCACACTGACGACTCACAAGGAGAGTAAAACTCTTCGTTGTCTCTTTGTAATATCTGCTAACCCATGCACTGACTGCAACTCGTAAACTGTCTAGTCCCCTACCAAAAGCCAAACTTTCAGAAGTGGGTGGCGGACCAGGTAATTTCAGTGCACAAGTAAGTAGGTTGAAGGACTAACAAAATTAAAGTTGAATATCGCACACGGGTACATCACCTCAAGTTACCTCAGTTCACAGTAATACACAAAGAAGTGGATAGAAAAAGACTGATATAAAAGCAGAAAAAGTTGTGAGACAGAATAAACGATCTGAAGATAATGGATAGTGCTAATATTCAAGCTTCAGAAGATACCAAGGAGTGAATTACATCCGCGCCATCGTGACCGATTTTCAGCCATATCACCAACAGTCCTCAACTACTGATTCCTTTTGTCTGGGGCACCCGAAATAGGCAGTCCGCATTCCCTCCACGGCTCAGACCAACAGTCATGGACTTCACGCACTAATGCCGTCTTGGTTTGACCACCGTGAACCCCTTTCCAACTTCCCTCCATCAGCATGGCACGTCGAGGTAGGTGGTGGCTCCGCATACATCTCTAATCTATCTCAGTCCACCAAGGTTCACAACCTTTGAGGTACCATAGTTGTTTGCTAGTTAGTTTATTTACTATTCAACAAAGTATACAATCCGGATGGATAGTGTTACTTTATTGACCTCTAACAATGAATCTTGAGTATAACTGAACAGCGCAATACCCCATTCGGTCATCGGAAAAGATAAGACGTGGTTGCATCAAAGGAAAAGTTCTTTCTTTTCGACCAAGTCAATTACTAAGCTGTACAAGATGAATGTATAGAAAAATGAATGGAGGGTTATGAAAATAAAATTGTAATTATGTAATGCCAGATAAACCTATGACACAATAGGAGAATAAACAGGGGATTATGAAAATAAGATTGTAGTTTCATAGTACAGGTTAAATCTACTGTCATAGGTTTATCTGGCATTACATAATTACAATTTTATTTTCATAACCCTTCATTCATTTTTCCCACTGTAAAACCAAATGTGTATTAACTTCATTGAGTCATTCAGTAGATTTTGCCCCTAGCCGGAAATAACTCTGGAACGTTCAACCCACTGTAACATATATTCACTAGTGTACAACTTAGTAATTGACTTGGTCGAAGAGAAAGAACTTTTCCTCTGCTGCAAACCACGTTTTGTTTTTTCCTATAAATGAATATACAAGATATTATTTTTGAAACATATCCGATAAAGTGCCAAAAAAACCAACGACAGGCAAATAATCGACATAACAGTTAGATATCACCTACGAAGATCAGCACGTCTTAACAAACAATAAATAAGCTAGCCTAAAGAAAACAATTTCTTACATATGACACTAAGCTTGTTGTCAGTCATGTTGTAGAATAAATCCATCTTAGACAACCAAACAGTCTAGACTAAATGAATCATGTTAAATTATGTGGGTTTGCGTTGATAAGACAGTTTTCAAGTCAGATAACATAAGACTTTCGAGACCAATGTGACGTGCCCATTGAAGACTGCTTACATCGCTCAACCAAAATAGTATCAAGTAAGTTGCTCATGACACTTCAGTTGATAAGAATACATTTACGTAAAATGATAAAATATCTGACTAACAAGTTTCTTTTACGTCTGATTCTCACTGAATGTTTAAATATTACAGATATACACCATTTCAATAATGTGGAGTAAATCAGATAGACTGAATCACTAGGGTGATTATACCTAAATCAAGATACAGTGGAACACAAACAGGAATCAATCACGAAACACCATCACCAATTAAGAACTGTATATCCACTCTGAGAGATAATTTGACAAAAGGCATACTACAAACATCAACCATAAGTGTACTCACCTCATTGACTGTATTATATGCACTCATTAGAACTTGTTCTTTACGTTTATCTAAATCGTCAATAACCGATTGAATTTTTTGTTTATCACCTAAGACAATTTCACGTCGTTCCATTAGTTCAGAATATTGTTTTTCAGCACTATCCAGCATAGTCATTGCACGCATATTAACAGTCTGACAGAGAAGATTAAGACGTCCTTTTAAAAATTCAACTCGTTGACGTGTTTCAGTTGGATTACGGGAAACAAAACAATAAACACCATTTTTACGACCAAAATTTTGCTTCTCTGAATTAATCCATGGATGAGCTTCTAACAGTTGTTCCATCTATTTTAAAGAGAACAAGAACGACGATATAACTATGTAAACCGATTGGTACATTAGTAGCTGTAAAGATATCTCTCATGCAGTGTAAAAGTATACTGACCAACCCAACTATGCAAAAAAATGGACTAAAAATACAATTTAAAAGTTGTGTTCGGTTTATTACTTACACAAAATTAACCAAAGAACTTCGAAAACATGCTACTACTACTATGTACAGTTTCGCCCAGTCTACCTTCGGCCAATATTTTATAATTCACAGCAATTTTCGATCATGTGTACGATAAGCCGAAGATCTTTTGTTTCACTCCACTTTTACAATCTGATTAGAAACTACCATCCGAAACGGAAAAGACACTTGCCATTAGATTAAACATAAATAGGCTAAGAGGCATATTTTCGTTGTTCAATTTCAGCAAGCAAGGAGCGAATAAAATCCTTGCAAACAACTTACATGAAAACTAGCAGTTCTTTTGTGAAATTTAAGGATTTCGCAATTGATTTAATGAATTCATAGAATTCAACAGTTCATACTAAAATCATCATCATCAATCATCAAGATCAACATAGGAACAGCCATTATCACATCTCGTATATCAGCAGATCAAGTAACAAGGCAATAAAATGGAAGATGAAGAAGGAAAGGAAAATCGATCAAAGGAAGTAGAAAGTAGTAGAAGAGAGAAGGAAGAATGAGATAAAGTATAGCACTTAACATGAGGATAATGTGTGTATAAATCTGCGCCACTGACATAGATTCTCAGCATCATCACCTTGCAATGATGCTATCTTTTAGTCTGGTCGCCCCGAGCCTTTTTCCAGTCTGAACATACTTCGGTCAACATTGAGAGACGAGGTAGATGATGGCTAGGGACACGTAACACATGTCACAGCCATCTCAGTCAATGAAGGTTCATCAACTGTCTTACCTTTCCTGCCTAAAAATTTCCACCTGACTTACGCCTTACTCACGCAGTGAAACCAGGGGACAGCCTATGCTACGAAGGCAGCGGTGGTTAGACACCTGAACCCTTCTTATCTCTTCTACCTTTAATGCTCATGTTTCACAGCTATGTAGTAGAACAGAGCGGAGTACAACACAGTACACTCGACCCTTAATAGACAGACAATCAGATATCGCAGCGGCGCCACTAAAATATTATATTGCTGTACTGCATATCAATGAACAGAAAGATACATCAAAGAATATTGCATAGAAGTGCAACATTTCATATCAGCAAATAAAAAGTAAAAAATGAGCAGAAAAGTAGACAAAAGCGTATGAGAAGAGGAAGATAGTGAACCACATAATTGAGAGTCAACAATCATTGATTCTTGTTATTTCGAGGATCATAGCAAGGTGACATACACTTTCCTACACGTTTAAAAGTAATATTCAGAGATTTTATGGATTCATGTCATATTTGAGTTCTGCTAATTTACCTTTATCTAAACGTAATTCTATTTAGGCTAGCATCACACGCTACAGCAGACGGTGGCTCGGCATGCATTACACATCTTATAGTCACCCCAGTCTGTGAAGGTCTATGACTTCATCCACTGAATTGCCCTTCCTACCTGGTACTCTACACTTAACGCAAACACTGCTCATATAGCCATTTAACCGTTCGAAGCTCACTCTAAGTACTAAGGTCCTGGCAGCCAGGCAGCATTACTAGCCCTCGTCGGACACGGCCATCCTCTGAAGTTGTTTATCCGGTTGAGGTATCCCTGAGAAGTTTGTTAACATATTGAAGGCTCCATACAAAAACATCCCAGATAAAGCGAGTACATACAGCCACCCCTATCATTTTCCCTTCACTTTAGTCACATGTAACATCATCGAAACACCTCAATAAGTGGTGCATGGTGTAAATCTACCTCAAATGAAGAACATTTCGTCAACACACTTCATTGTGTGAAAACATATAAACTAATCAAAAGGCAATTACTCAGTTGATGATCAGTTTCATTATGGCTTGTACTTCGCATCATCGAATCGCATATTAAAATTAAGCTGACCAAACTCTAGACAACTGTGTGCACGTCCATGCACCAGGCAATGAGTCACATCGGTTATGCGAAGGCTATTGTTATTATTTGGTCGCCCAAATCTCGATAGGTGCAACCAAGTTCGAACCCGCAACCTTGCTTTTGAAAGTCAACTACCCAGATCAATGGGTCACAAGCACTTCAGAAGACATAACAGTATGCACCAGTTTTAGTCCCATTCAGCACCGTCAATACGTTAACCTTGTTGTAAAAGGTCGGATGTACAACGGGTTGGTGCGGACACCTGTGAAACCTGGACTCTCCAACTTGAGGATGTCCGACAACTTTAATTTTTTGACCTCCAAACGGCTGTCCGACAGCTGCTACCTTGTCGTGGTGGTAGAGCTTGCATATTACAATGACCCAGCGAGCGACACTGGCTGGGACGCTTGTTCCTTCTAGTCCCTACCATGGTAGAAAGGTATATGAGATAGTGGTAAGATGAAAAGCAGTTACCGCGAAAGTGTAGATTAATACACTATGGTAGGGATGTGAGAGCGAGGTCGCACTGCTGCTAGCTGGATGGGGGTGTGACAGTAGTAAGGTATTTCTCTTGGATGACCAGTAGTGCCACGCTGATGCTGCCTTTCCTATGGGAAGAGGGGTTTAGAAAATGTCGGCCTCAAAACAACACACACCACACGCCCCACGGTCTCCCGATGCGGACGGTATAGATTCTCTCTATCCAGCATCGAAACTACCAAACCTCAGGACAAAATTCCACAAAAGGCTGCATGTGGGCATACCTCAAGCAGATATCTCATGCGCACTAGAGTCACATATATATTTTTTCTCTTTCAGGTACCTTATGAAGAAATAGCCCTTCACATTACGGGCAGCTTCCAGGAGTACAAAAGATACAATCAAACATGACCTATCCTCGTCAACTCTGTCTCCTCTTTTGCCTTCACCTCCTGATACTAATTTAAGGCCAATTACGCCATAATCAACCTATCACTCCGCAAGCATTTTCAAAGATCAAGGCCACCGAAACCTCATTAATAGTCTCCTAAGACCACGCCTACCATCAATTTCATGTAGGAGCTTTCAACGTCCAAACTCTATGCGAAATCGGACACCAAGCACCGCTCACCACAACTCTGGAATCTCTAGTCATGGATATGAGCTGCATCTCTGGGACACATATACAAGACAGAGTGTGGTTATTAAATTGACCTCATCTGGTCATAGTAATGAATCTTAAAAATTCATCTTACGAGTGTCCGGAGACCCAGTGGCTAGCTCTCGTGAACTCGCCGGTATAGGCATAGCATTGAGATGTAGGGCAGAAAGTGAGTTTATCGATTGGATATCAGTCAACAGACATTTATGTGCTGTTCGACTGAAAAGATCTGTAAGAACTAGGAAGGATCATTAGATTAGACGATGTCCGTCTGAGCGCCCACTGACTGTAGTTCAGATGATGCAAAGGATGAATTATATGAGAAACTGTCAACCTCACTACAGAAAACAAACGTTCAGATCTAGTCACAATGACAGGTAACCCTAACGCTCAAGTGGGATGGTGAACCAATCGAAAAGGAATCTCGGAGGTATTTACGGAATCCCATCCCAACGAACCGATAACGGTGATCGTCTCTTGCAATGTTGCTCCGACAGTCACTTATTTCTAACCAGAAATAACTTTAAACATTAGGAGAGACACTGTCTCTCATGGCATCCATCGAAATCAAGCCAATGACGGACACAATAGATCAATATTGCTTCATAGGCCATCGTTGGAGAACTGCCGCTCTTTCTTGAGTACCTGTTTCGACTCTGACCACGCACTAAGAGGGTCCGTGTATGTCTGTACTTTACTCGTTGTACAAAAAAGACGGCAGTAAATCAAATCTGTGCTCAACTGGAAGATGAGAATGAAAATGACGTACTTGCAGTGGAGTTAGCTACGCATTTATCTGAACAAGACACCAAAGCTCATCCTGAGGTAACCTGGCGCGATATTACGTTGGCTGGAGAAACAGTAGTAAAGACAATTGGTAACGCTATTGGATTTCTTCGACATCATCCGAACTGATTAATGCGAGTAGACTGGTTCCAGCTGGCTCCAACCACGATGAAGAGACAAAGCAACCTGAAGGCAGCCATGCCATGTAAGGGCTGGTTGGTGACTGTTGGAGACATGGCTTGAAATCGGTCACAATGGAGCATGAGTATTCGCTCTTTGACGTCTTCTAAAGCTCTAATATTCGCACTAACATTTATCTTCAGCCTGTTTATTCTCTCACACCACTTTTCCATCCACCTGTTCCTTGTATACTACCATAAATTTGGCAACTTGAGTCGATGCATGTGTGTGGGGTTCTGCTTTGACTTTGTCCGTTAGTCAGTCAGTCCGAACGGGTGCACACATACAGTGGAGACGTAATGTGAGCAATTCGTAGGTGAGGCGATGTGTCCGGGTGTGGTGGAGATTTTCCTTCTTTAAGTGTGACCATCTTGAAACATCGACTTTGGTGGCTTGGACATGGTAAATATGTCGTCCCTAACTCGGGACTGCTTGCAAGAAGCAGAAAGGTGACCAGTGCACGATGTGGTCCTGGATGATGACGGATAGTTGTAGTAGGTTAGCGTCTGTGGGGGCCTGGAATTTCCTTGGATGAAGTCCAAGAGACCATGCTATTCAGTAGCTTAAGAGGATGGTGGATATTGCTCAGAATGGTGATAATGCTGCACCTTTAGTGTTTCTTCTTTTACTGAAAAGTGAAAAGAAAGTAATGAATGCACTTTGGATGTATCTTTAAGACTGCTTCTGCAATAATCTATTTTATTTTTGCCCCTTTTGCTTTTTCAATATCACTTCAATGTTTTCCTAATGTTGTCAAAATATTTTGTATGATAAGTGTTTTGGTGCCCAAGTTATTCCAAATTTATTTTAATTCCAGTTGTCATGTTTCACAACTTAACAGCTGGCTGACTGACCAACAAAATCAATGTAGAACTTCGCACACAGGTCCATCGGCTCGAATTACCACACTTCACAACAGGACAGAGTAGAGTGTTGCGCAGTATATCCATCCTTCTACAAGAGATTGGATATCGAACATGTGTCATAAGTTAGCAAATGACAAACAGGTCAAATATTCGTTTAAAAGCCATTGACAAAATCTGGGATACTTACAAAGAATCAAAACATTCAAATAAAGTAGTCAGTTTTCATATGCAATCACAAAATTTCCGAATTATGCAGATGACTACTCGAGTAGAAGAATAAGTTACAAACCGTTATTTCACACGAAATGCTGGTTTTCTCTAGTATCAGAGAATATCAAGATGGGAACTGGCTACAATACTACGTGACGGTCCAAGTTTCAACAACTCATATCAGCATACCAAGATAAGGTAACAAAACGAAAGCGGGAAATGAGAATAATAAAGTCAAAATCGTTGTAGTTCATGGAACTAAAGGAAGTGGAAAAAGTGATATAACGTTTGAATTAAAGATAAAGCATATCTACGCAAATGAGGGTGATTTAAAACCAGATCACCTAGTGTAAACTTTTATTGTGTATCATATTTTGCGAGTAACACAAATAATTCATTTTAAACGAACCAATTACAAATACTTTCTTAGAATATAGCCTTGTTACTATTTACACTCAGTGATAAAACTTGGCAATCACTGTTACACTGTTCATATATATATATATATATATATATATATATATATATATATATATATATATATATATATATATAGGAGTGCTCTCGAACAATAAACTTAGAGTTCACCCTTGATGACAACTCAGTCCCCGAAACCAGAAAGAAGCGGCAAAAACGATAAAGATTTATTGTCCAGTCTAAACCAAGAATATCCAGAGGTAGTCGATCTGTCAGGTATAGACGTCTCATTGCCGCGTACAACAGTACAATAAACTTCAGCAATATTATGTAGCTGACCATCTGATGCACTGTGAACGACCTCAGTAGTTGGGTAATTTTTCGGTCAACCTATTCGCTGCCATGTTCTTCTGCCGATAAGTGTTATGTCGGAAGCTGTATCAAGATGTAAACGAACCTGATGTCCGTTGATTTTTATGAATATATATTTTCTTCGCAACGCTGATCCGCTTCTTTTTATGCTGCTGCATTTTGGGTACAGCTGTGTATGATTTCGGAGTTTAACTTTATAACGGTCCTCATTGAGAACATTTCATGAATCTGTGATTCTAAAACGGGCAAAATTTCACCAAGTGCCAACTACCACAATGCCAAAGGTAGTTTCAGTCTACTGTTATTACCTTTTGCATGGTCAGTAGCTATGCACCCTTTCTCACTGACTGACTGACTGACTTCGTTAATATTCGCTGAATGATTCGCACTTTCAACCGTTGCTGAGTTATGCTTCAAGTTTATCAGTTTCTGACACTCATTTGTGATTTTTTGAAGTGTTACGTTTGGGCGCTGTTTCATCTTAGATAAAATATGAGCACGTATGTTAGCTAGCATCTGCCGAAGATCTCAGAACTGCAGATGAAAATAAGAAATTTTAGATGGTCTTCATTCATCGATGAAAGTTTAAAGCACTCACACTCTTTATTGACAACCCAGTCATCGCTTAAATCTTTTATAATATTGAAACACTAGTATGTAACTCGAAAGAGAGATGATTGCTCTCCAAATATCTGTGGCAGAATTCAGACTGTTTCATCAATAATAAAATCTTAAGAATTCCTTGGCAGTATAAAATTTACGTAATGATCATGTTCTACAGTGCCCAACTTTCTTTAAAGAATGCATCATCATGAAGCAATTTAAGGTCAACAAGAAACACGTCTTGATACTTTTTCAACCATGATTCAAATCTAATCCCTGCAAATAAATCAAAGTCCTGTATTGAAGAAATGAGAGGATCCATATGAGATAATTCACGTTGCACAAATGTTGATACTGGTCGTATACCACACAACTTTTCACTAAATCCTTCATATATATATATATATATATAAAACTAATAGGTCAGTTTAGAAAAACGGTTTGCTCTTAACCTACCTTGGTCTGGTAAGTAACCACTAGAAACAACAGGAAATATGATTTTTACATGGCTTACATATTTATTTTCTAATGAATAATTATAAGGAATAAATTATGCCAACGAATTACCAGCTATGCTGCTAAGTCTATTCAACATTTAATAGTCGGCTAACCAACTGCAGAAAGTTGAATTTTTAATAGAATCGTCAATGTTTCGATTATGATCCCGATCTAACGAGTAACAATTGGTATTCTCTAGAGATATCTTAATTCGATGCAGTTTTCAAGTTTCATTTTTTCACAATGATACACAAATAATTTCGCAAAATTGCTCATGAAATGTCATGTGTACGATTCAACTACTATGCACAGGCTCATGTGCAAGACAATGAACCAGATTTGTTGCAATAGGACTTATGATACCCACTTGACTGTTCAAATCTCTATTGGTATGTTGAGGTTTTAACTTGTGATCCATCGATTGAAAGTTCACCTTCTAGATTAAATTAGCCGCGATAAAGAAAAACAAACATGGTATTGGATCACCAGAAAAACAGAAGAGTTGCCAGCGCATTCGACAGAAAAAAACTGACAAAATGAATCAATAATTGCTTACCCTACCATCTGCCTGATCACCTTCTTTCATTTGAATCTCAATTTGATGCGACAGCTTATCTATCAAACTGTTGGTTTGATTAAGTGCGTCAACCAATTGACTAGCCTCAGTTTCAGCAGATTTCAGTGCACCAAGTGTTTTATGGATTAATTCACGGTGCTGTTTAACAGCTTCACATGCTTTAGCTAATTCCTCCTTGGCAGAACGTTCAGCTTCAATACAAAACTCTTCTTTCAATTCTGCTGTCTTCACAGCTTCTTTGGCTTCTTCAAGAGAAACCTTTATGGTAAAGGAGAGGAAATATTACGAATCTTGTAAAACATATGCAAATACAATAATGTTTCCTAGTTTTAGGGCACATTTCAATAATTCCGTTGTTAATTATTGAAATTGATTCTAATTGGACCTAAAGCGCTTTCAGTGGTTACTTAGAAATGAAAAGACATGAGTAGAACTTCTAGTGTATGATTCTTTCAAACCATATCATAAGAATGTCATATCTCTGAGAATACAGTGGAGTGTACAAATCCACTCAAATAATAATATTGATGGTTTCTATAAAATCGCTGTTCATGAAACTATAGTTTCGGTTGACAATGTTAAAGAAACTAAGACACAAAACCTTAAGAGTGCTAAAAAGCATCGATCAGTGGAACACAGTTATACTGCATGTTATTCAGTCAACCGATTTTGAATTCACGAAGTGAAGACCAACTTTTTTTCGCCTTACGTATAGGTTTTTCTTATTAGTTAAATAAATAAATAAATATTTTATTCTCACATTAAGAATTTAACATGAGAGAAGCCAATTTACAGACATCTACACATTGATATATGTTGGGAAATCTGCAAGATTTTACAAGTCCTGAATGGTACAGAAGGCAGGTCATTAAACTTTATGAAAAACACCAGAAGATTCTGCTAGTTATGAAACGAACAAGAAAATATCACTTCTCAGCATATATAGAGTGTTCAAGTTTACATCGTTATCAGACATACTTTTTTTCACCATAGGTGGCGCACCAAGGTCGCGCGAAATTCCAAATTTCCATTACAAGCAATCGATATATTTGACTCGTCTTTATAATTCCACGTTAGGCCAGATAAACGTCTATTTTACCATAAATTATTATGCTTATAGCTTCAGAGACCAAAAGAACGAAAGAACTTTTCCTATTGAACCTATTACGCTGCTCGTACCATTAGATGCGTTTGCTATCAAATTTCTGAACATCTTCTATAGTGGTTAGAGAAATGATAAGTATGATCAAATCAATACGGAAAAGCATACTTTCACATCTCATTCATTTGAGGAATAAATGACTCTGGTGTCATTGACTTAAATTCACACAATCTCGCGCGCACTTTACGCAATCAGCTTCTTCATATAGCGAAAACTGAAACGATTCCACTTGAACACACCAAGCTTCTATAGATAGATGGATAGTGCGATTAATTAACTGCTTTCCGATAAGCTGGAAGTGATTACATTACCGCGTTGCTATTCGGGTTTTTGTTTCATTTTAAATCCATAGGGAAATAGAAATTATACTGTTCAAAAATGCTTCATATTAGTGTAAAGCTTTTGGTGAAAACCTAGTGCAGGATGAACATTTTTTCATTCCCATTGCTTTTTTCTAAATTTCTTTTACAGGCTAAAAAACAATAGCAGATGAATTTCACACTAGCAACATCGCAAGTAAACAGATAGCTGGTGTATGCAACACATAAAGTGTCTGTGATGAAAACTCAAGATGATTACTACTGGAAGTCGAATTATAAAATTAAAGTACAACGTGTATTTAATTTCTTTGAATATTATCTGCTGTCTAATGAAAACCAATGATTATATAAGGTAAATTGACTAACCTTTATACCATTCAGCTCTTTAGCGACTTCTTCAGCCTCCAAACGTAAGGTTTCTTTTAGTGAATCTTTCTCTCTTAAAGCAGCTATAGTAGCTTCTACCTGGTTCCTAGCTTCAGCAAATGCTTTCTCAGCATCTTTTTCTTCTTCTCCATGTGAATTGTCTGCATTTGCTACTTTTTCATGAGCTAATGTAGCTCTTGCACGTATCTGTGAAAGACTTTCTTCAGCCTTGGATAGTAATTTTTCCACTTGTTCTATATTGAGAAAATGTTTATGCAAAAACATAGGACCGAATATTTAGACAGAAAACAGTGAGGAATTTTATGAAATCTGTTCGATAAATAGTTAATAAATAATTAGGCCATTTATACTGAGATAGAATGATGATAGTTCAAATGGTGATTAATAAAACCTCATGAGGAAACTGCACAAATATTTCAACTGGTTGTGAAAATATACCATGTTAAGACAGAAAGATAGTCAGTGGATTTATTACCTACCAAGAAGCAACCCCTATTGCATATGAAATACAACCTCAAAGATCACTTCTTGTAGTCTCACTTCAATCACTACGGTGTAATCCTACTGATCGAATACAGAAAGATCATCTTTCGGCTGTCATATGATTTTCATTGTCCATAGTTATTACATATATTAAATATACGTGTATGGTTATAAAGGGACCAATCAACTTTCTCTTGTAAATATATATCAATAATCCACACGAGAACCCATTCATTACAACAAATTTACTGATCACAAGTAAACGTAGAAGGATGGGTAAACTTGTCCACTGTGAGATAAATCAGGTTGTACAAATGTTGATACACACAGTTTCTCACTAAGTGCTTCAATGATTCTCATAGTTGTCTGTTCACTTCTTTTATCTTCCTGCCCCATGAATAACTGGATTTGATCAAGAGAAATACTTGCCACAATTCCCGTCGCAGGTTGGTATGTCCTTATATATATATATATATATATATATATATATATATATATATATATATATATATATATATATATAACTAACAAGGAGTGGACTCTTGAAAAATAACCTAAGACTTCACCCTTCATGATCGCTGGATTACTCAAAAATACAGAGAAGCGTCAAAAACGATAAAGGTTCATTGTCCAGTTGAATGTGTACAAAAATTAACGGTTCATATACATTTGTTGATGGCATTGGAAAGTTCTACACTTTTCACGAGAGCCCTTTAACCAATACTGACCTATCTCCAACCATATCCCAAAGGATATCCAACCATGGATTCCGACTGAGCTCGGAAGTCTACAACTCCTTATGCAGCTCAGACGAACAGTCAAACTTCATGCACTGGTGTAACGTCCTGATCTGGACACCTAAGCTCTCTTTCAACCTAACCCTACTTCAGATAACATTGCACCTTCGAGTTAGGTGGTGGCTAAGCATGTGCACGTGCAAAGAACACCCAAGCCACATCAAATCCTGAAAGTTGGAACCCACATTGGCTGACTTATCCTTTGACTAACTTCGACACTGCTCACAGGATGCTCTCATCATATGTGAGCAGTGCTGCGACGCCACGTTTGTTCCGAGACCCAGATCATAGGTTCGAGCCCCATTCCACCTACTGAGACCTGACCAGCTAGGCAGCATCATTAGGCCTCACACAATAGGTGTACCGTACTGCCTGATGCACGAATTTGCACTAGGTAGCTGGGTGCCTTTGATTTCAATCGCCACATCTCATGACAGCGTAACAAGACAGAACGGACTGCAACATTGCGCAGTACACTCCTCCAGATATCTTACTAGTTAGCCCCAGAGGTGACACAACTTGACGAATGAATCGAGATCCCGTTCTCGCACTCTAATAATGCATGGAATAATTGTGGACCCAAGGATCTTGGACACAATATTAGTCGAAGTGATCCCCCTATGGTTGTCACAAGAAGACTTCTCTCCCTTCATATAGACTGAGATGGCAGTGTAGAAGACTAGTCTGACAGGACTACCTCTGATTCTCAAACACAACATCGAATCAGCAATTCCCTACTTCCATCTTTCATCAGTTTGGATGACGTTGCGGAAATCGAATGACGTTTGGTAGATTTCGGGTTCAGGCCACTAACTGTCTTTATCTCTGTTTCCACAGCAGACCTAATTTCACACTAGGTTTTCTCAGGTTGAGCATTGGTGTCTTGTTCAGATGAATGCTTAGCTGTTTCCTCTCTAAATACCCACGTGACGTTCTCGCCTTCCAATGGAGCACAAACTGGATTTACTATTGTCTGTTTTGTGCAATGAGTAAAGCGCAGACATACAAAATAGGCAGCCTCATGAATTGAAGCAAAGTCTTGCTTGTTGAAGGTTCACAGATTCGACTGACTTGCTTAGATAATATAGTGCTCTGTACTCAGAGTTAACACTGCTCACTACGATCTAATCATAAGCAAGAAATAGTATGGAAACACTTATGATCAAAGCTCTGTATTTTCCCCATATTTCCCACCTTCAACCGCCATATCTCCCATATTTGTGAAATAGGACAAAGTGAACCACTGAGAAACATAGTCTCGAGATTTCTCTCAACAACCAGTCCATCAGAGCTGACGTAACTTTTTGAGCAGTTAAGAAGGTTAACACACTTCATACCACACCTTGTATTCCTTAGGAGTCAATATAGGTTCTTCAAACATCGACACGCATTTGACGGATGTTTCGCAATTGTCAAACGTGTTCACATTTTAACTAAAGATGTTCAGAAGATTTAAACAGTTGACAGTGTTTTAGCGCTAGAGGATAATCCCTCATGCAGTAGTGCGTGGACACTGTCCAGGAGTCTGATATTGGGGAGAGACAGTTTTCCACTGTTTCCTCGACCAGTATCAATTGGTGATGAACACGACCTTGAAATGGCAACCTAGACCGCTACGTAGTAGTGCAAGGTCCCGTGTTGACATTGTCTGTCGTGTCTCAATATCACGTTAATGAGCTACTCAGGTGCTCATACTTCATCATAAACGCCCCCTGACCACAACTTTTCCTCTTTTCAGCTGCAAATTCATTCTGGTTGAGATATGAAGGTGAAAGTTTAAAATTATCGCAAGTAGCGGTAACATGTTTTAAGCCTACAGAATAAAATCTCATTCTTTAGAAGATCGAACGCATAAAATTGTTGAGTTATGTGACGAAATGTGTCTGCATTCCGATTCATAAATCAACAGTAAATAAAAGTCACCTACTTAAAACATATTCAGTAACCCTTATATCACATGTTTAACAGAATGTAATTATCCGATATATGTTTTAGAACTACTGAGACAAAGTGACTTACTTAGCTCTTCTTTGGTAGCTGCTACGTCTGCTAGTAACCGAGGTCTATCTCCCTGTTTCATTTGGTTCTCTAGTTGACTTAGCTGATTACGATAGCTTTCTAATGATTGGTGCATTTGAGAAATCTTTTCTGATCGCGCTTCAGCAACTTTGACATTCGCTTCACCTTGAGCAACCTCTAGTTCAGCTTCTTGAGCACCAACCTCTGCATTATGCCATTTAAATATGCGAGATAACAGACCGTCTGAAAAAGACGCTCGACTCCCACCACACAGTGTACCCTAATAATGAAAAGCGATGTGACAATAGCACGTTAGACAGACCACAACAGAGGATGATACCATAGATTAATTCTAAATAACGTGAAATTCGCTTAAATGAACCTAACTTATTGACACAGAAAGTAGACAAAAATTAACAACAGTCTGAAAAAGAATTTACCAACTATCATGCTTATTTTGTTTTAAAGCATACAATTACCGACAATTATAGCTGAGCAGAAACACCCTAAGTTTGAATTGATTACAAACAGATGGCCAGACAAACCAATATGATACTTGACACAAAAGTACATCTGTTCCAGTGGGCTCACTCCACTAAAGCATGCAAAGAAAACTGAACAGAAAAACAATGAAATACATAAACGTTTATGAGAGGACAGAGAGAGAACAAGTAAATGGAAACATTCAAAACTTCGAAGATGACAAAAAGTATATATATCCAACCAGTTGTATCTAATTTTGAACCACACGTCCATGAAAGCACATGGCTATTGACACACTTCAATGAAAGCGTTCAATTACGATTGCATCTGTTAGAAACACTGTCCTGTAGGCATGGTATTCTTAAAGTTACAGATGTATTCTTTTTCCAATAACAAAATCTACGGATTGCCAGTGACTATTTCAGATAGTCGTGGTTTGATGGACTCGTATTATTGATATTGAAAACCCGGACTACTGGTTCGAATTCTGCCACAAACCAGATTTTCATTACATTTCCTTCAATCATCACCCAGTATCAAAATTTACGGAGATAAATCTTGAAGTATGAAAGAGCACTTATGTATTGTTAAAAACTGAAAAGGTAAGAAGTTATCGACGTGAAGTTCGGTAGCACTAATCAAGTGGCAACTCCTTTAGCCACAACTACACTTAGTTAACATCAAAGATCAATTCCAGCCGACGAATTTGAATATCTGTACAGATTGGCAGTGTAAATGCAAGTTAAACAGTATATTAGGAGTAGTAAAAATGCCAACAAGATAAGACTGTCATCTTAAACGATAAAAAAAAGCAGCAGACGAACGGAAACACACAAACAAAAATAAGTTCAATTTCTCCCCGATAATTTATACAAAGTATGAGGAAATAGGGTCAAATTTTGTGTTAAATGGAACCTAGCGAATGTCCCTTTTATTAAGAATTGACTGTGAAACATCTGATTATAAAAGATGTTTGTGAGATAAAGGCCATATTCAGTTATTTTAATGATAAAAGTTTAACACGGGAACACTAAACAGCCTGATGTAAAACAATCATGGACTTCCATTTATTGAAACACATTTAAAAATAGATTTCAGCGAAGAAAATTTCCCTTCGCGGTGATTTCATTTTCAAAAGCTGTACAATTGTATTTTTACAATAGGTGGAATCGTAAAGTTCACTAGTATGAATGAGAATAATATTTCATGAATCGCCAAATCAATTGGAAAAATAAAGAAAACTAAAGGTCAAAGATGCAAGATACCAGGTGGATGACTGAATGAATGTGCTGTGATTTTGCTATATACCCCTAGTTTTGCATAACCAGGGCAGTAGAGTTGTACACATACATGCATACCATTCGGGTTACCGAGTCAAATCCACTATGATGTGAAGAATTTAGGCGCTTAATGGCTGACTCCTAATGATTATGACTTAAGCAAGTAAAACTGCTGCTCAATCCCTTGACTGTAGTAATTTGGAGGGCGAAATTTGAAGTCAACTTACATTAGTCGTGCTGAACCATCCAAATATCTCACCTGCGAACACGGTTAGCCTAATTTCACTCTTAAGACAGTGTTCGGCATAATTTTTACATCCTATGGTTTCATCTACAGTAGTATTATACTCCTATATACCCCTACTTTTCCATAACTTTGGCCTGATGTTTACCCATAACCTTAAAATAACCTATCACTGCTGTTTTCACACTATTGATAGCTTTTTTCCTCACTGCTCTGAAGGCTGAACTCTCATTGGTTGTTAACTCTTTTAACCTAAATGTGGATTCATTGTTGTCAAGGTCATTTACAAATGTATATATTCAGCATCCTGTCAACTGCTTTGTCTGTTGTTGAGATCGTAAGAGCTCCATGTCAACGGTTCGTCTTGTCTTCGAGTGTCTGTAGTATTGTTGTGGTGGTGGTCGACGTTCTGATTAGCGTTTAGAGTCGATTAGTTTTGCGCGTTAGGTTCATATTGCTCGCAGACTGTTAGGTTGCACTACCGGTCATAGAAAATCTCATTTAAACGCAGTCGACCAAAGACCAGATAAAATAGCAAATGTGAACACCAATGACACAAAATGCGATGTGATAGAGATCACGAGAAATGAAAGTATTATGATAAAATAAAATGCACTGAAACAGAATAAAGTAAAAATAAGGAAGAGCTGGATGCATGAAACATCTGGTCAAAATGGTAAGTTAACTTCAAGATAGTGAAACGGGCTGTACAAACTGTTTCTGCACATATGGTTCTGGTTTAAGATTAAGGCTTTTTCTATACACATACATTCAGTTGGATCTTTTGAATGCAAAAACAGTAGATGATCAAAATTCACAAGAATTACACTTACTTGGGGATCAAATACATCACCTTCCAGTGTTACCGTCTTCTTTTCAATACCAGGATGAAATGCAACACGTTTAGCTATCGCCATATTCGGACATATCAAGGCACCGCCAAACACATACTCCATAACCGGCTTAAATATATCATCGAACTCAATCAGTGATAAGGCGGTGACCACATTATCTGCACCAACTAACAATTGAGCTCTTTGAACAGTTGCATCCGGCACAGGGTTTCCGTGTATTTTATTCAGGGGCAGAATAGTGATGCGTTGACGAAGTTGACCACGTGCTAATAAACTTTTACCCGTATGCTCTGTATCTACTACAATGTTTTGTAACTGAAGTTGCAAACAGAATAAAATATACACATACTACATTTTGAAACACTAAAATGCAAGACAATTTCTAATACCTTTTAAACGAAATTTATTAATCCTCCTTTATCATACCTGATAAGTGGTCGTATCGAAAACAAATTGCATAAAACATTTAATAAACTACTCAACCCAACACAATTAAATTACCACTACTTCTAACTAATGTTCTTCGGCCTTCTAGCAGATCACAGTCACTTGTCTTAAGAGGAGTTTCGTTTTATGTCAATGATTACCCTTATATTAATTGAAAAATTCTGAACTTAGGTGCTTGAAAATGATGATAGTTTAAGTAAATTGTCTAGAGTTATCTAATATCCACTGATCAGAAGTACAATCAGATCATGACACAAAGATGCTTAGACGAATTTTGAGTGCAACTAGTCAAGCATTACATCGGTGCAACGCAGTTACCAACTACAGTACTTACGGAGAAAAGAAAAGAAAAGTTATGCAAAATCAATAAACTCAAGCAGGTACAAACATAAAGCATCTTCGTAATGTCGATACGGAAGTACCTAGTTTGACTGAGATAAGGCGCTTTTCTTGTGTGTGATACAACTCTTTATCCGAGAGGAAATCGCTACAAAATGAAAATGTAATACTTGTACAATGTCACACGAAAGTGTTTCCTCGCAAAAGCAGTAGAGCTAAACACTTGCAGAGAATACTACTCACCGTCAGACAGACAAGTAGATGAAATCAAAGAACAACCTCGCATATAAGTGCTTCAGTTCAGTTATCACACTTCACATTAGTATACAAAGAACAGGTGGATATAAAGGACTGATATCAAAGTCGACAAAGATATATGGGAGAAGGAGGAACTTAAAACTTAAGGTTAGTAAAAACACTCAAGAGTTAGTATATATCTCAGAGTCAATAAATCTGCGCTATCGTGACCGATTTTTGACCATCTCATCAAGACTTCTCAACCACTGATTCCTATCGTCTCGGGCACCCCAACCAGGTAGTTTACAACTCACAACACAGCTCAGACCAACGGTCAGGAACTTCATGGACTGGTAGTACGTCTTGGTCTGATCACTCTTCTAACCTAATTCAACTGGCTTTAGTATGGAACGCCGAAGTAGGTGGTAGGTCGGCTGCGCAACACATGTCCAAGCCACCTCAGCCAATGAAGGTCCACAACCTCATCAATCAAATTGCCTATATTGCATAGTACCCTTCACCTCACCTCAAAATTGGTTACGTAGTGGTTTTACCAAACGCGAGCAGTGCTACAAAGACATCTATGACTAAAACCCTTTAACCACTTTATGTCTTCTACTTTCAACAGCCATGTCTCAGCCGCATAATAGGAGAGAACAGACTACAGTGCAGTGTACTTGTCCTTTGATAGATAGTCAGGCATCTCACTAGTCGGTGCCGCACATAACGCAAGTTGGTGAATGTCAAACGGGCCAGCAGAGATTTCGTCAGCAACCACCCCATCCGGGCTGATGCAACTTCCCAAGCAAGTGGAGCGTTCGACAGATTCCCCCAACTTCACTCCCTATCCACATTCACTGTGACATGAAAAAGTGCAGTTTGAAAATCGCGAAAATTACTCACCAGTTCATTCATGACGCATTATCATTATTATTATTTTTCCCTTGGGTTCCTAGTGGAACATAGGGCTTCGGTAGCACGCCTCCATTGCACTCTGTTCTCTGAAGTCTTTTGAACCTGGCCCCACGACTGCCCACAAGCTCCCATTTCTTCCTCATATGATCTCCTCCATGTCATTCCTCACCTCGGACCCCCAACTCGTCGTTTCCCCTTTGGATCCACTCAACGGCCTGGTGCGTGTATGCCCAATCCAATCCATCTCCACTTTCTTCTTCCGCACATTTGTTGGGTGATACGTTCTTAGTTGGTTCGTTCCCAGAGTTCTTTGTTGCTTATTCTTATTATTCTAGCCATCTGATCTTCAGTATCGAGCGTAGGCAGCTGTTGATGTCTGCAGTTTGTTGGAAGTGCTTTTCGTGACGCGCCAAGTTTCTGAACCATATAGCAGCAATGACTTCTCATTAGTGTTGAAAATCCGGATCTTGTTCCACATGCTGAGTGGAGTACAGTAGATCTCCACACTGATTTCAAATAAATGAAAGCCTGTCTTGCTTTTCCAATCCTGGTTTTGATATCCTCGTCTGTGCCTCTGTCGCCTGTAGTTGAAATGATGCAGCCTTGCATAGGTAGATAAAAGAGACTAGTTCCTTTCGGTTTCTCCCGTTAATGGTAATTGGTGCTTGTTGTTGATGCTGTTGTTGGTTGGGTATCTTCATCACCTCCGTCTTCTCTACATTCACTTGAAGTTCTGTCTTCGCTGCCTCTCCTATCGACTTGTTAGTTTTCGCCTGTAGATCTTCGAGTTTGTGCCACAAAACAGACATAAATCATTTGCGAAATCCAAATCTTCTAGGTTCTTTTCATCGGTCCCGACAGCGTATGTCCATCTTCACGCTCCTCACGGTTTGCTGCATGATCCAGTCCACCACAATCAGGAAAATCACCGGTTATAGTAGACAGCTTGTCTTACTCCTTCCTGTCTTTACTTGAAAAGCCTCACTGAGCTTTCCATTGTAAACCACTTGGCATGTGGCATCTTCATATAGCTGATGAATGAGGTTGATAAAGATTTGTGGCCTTCGTAGTATTGAAGCAACTGCCAAATTATTTCTTGGTCGACGCTGTCAAAGGCCTTTTTAAAGTCCTTGAAGTTGAGGTAGAGAGTTGACTGCCATTCTATATTCTGTTCATGACGTTGCGTGGCGTAGCGTTGCAATTTGATCCGCACATCATTTGTTCTTCCGGAAACCAGCCAACAAGCCTGTTCCGGTCGTAATTTCGAATCCAGAGAATCCTTTAGTCTCTCCAGGATGATGCGGCATAATATTTTGCTTGGGGTGGACAAAAGCATGATTCCGCGCCAATTCTTTCAAAGGCTTAGGTCTCACTTCTTTGGAAGTTTGACAAGGTAGCCCTTCTTCCAATCAATGGATAGGCACCTTTCCTTCCCTCCTTGCAAACCTTCTGCAGTAGTGGTGTGAGCATGCCCGCTGTTATCTCTGCGCCTGTTTTCAGTGCTTCTGGTGGAATTCCATCTGGTCCTGCTGCTTTCCTGGATTTCAGAAGCTTTACGGAATTCAGACTTCACTTCTGCTTTTGTCGGAGGGCCTGTGTTCACTGGTAGTTCTGATGTCGCTGGTGGTATTTCCGGATGACTTGCAGATGGTGGTCGATTCAAGAGCTTTTTGAAGTGGTCAGCCCATTATAAATAAATAAATATTTTATTCTCAAATTAACAGTTTAACATGAGAAAAGCCAGTTTACAGGCATCATCAAATTGATAATGGTAAAGAAATCTCCACTAGTTGAGCTGTCCTGAATGATGCAGAAGGTATCGCATCACGGTTTATAATGATAATAAAAGTGACTACAGGTTATGAAAAGAACAGAAAAATGTCACTTCACAGTACATTCAGATTGTTTATGAGTTTCGGTTATCCCCAATCAAGATTCTTTTTACACAATAAAGTGATACCAAAATCGTACAATATTCGACGTTTGCATTACATGTGACCTAGATGGTTAACCTGGTGGTATAGTTCCATGTTTCGTCAGATAAACGTTTATTTTGACATTAGTTAACACGTTTATAGTATCGTTGGCCAACGAAAACTCACTTCATCGATTTCAGGTAACAGTAAGTGTCAGCATAACCATATAATCCACGTGAGTATATAAGTCTAAGCATTTCCCACTCGTAGTGTGACCTTGCTCAGCGATAAAAACGTAATCCATCAGATTTAGTTGTTGCTGTTTCTTTGTTTCTCCTCTTTGCCGGTAACTAGGTTTCCTTCACTATCTTTCATTGGTTTCGTCTGCGTTGATCTCTTCCCTTCCAGATAGTAACCTGGTTATTTGATATGGCGTTGTCAGGATTCTCCAGCAGCCTTCAGCCTGTTCTGTTTCACTTGCCAGTATGTCGTAGAAGTGTCTTTTGTCTTTCCGTGCACTCGTCTTCACTTCTTTGTCCAGTGCAGTATTTTATAGGTTGTGTTCAGTTCCTCTTTTCGTTGTGCATCTATGCAATGATTCATCTTCTGGTTCACCATCAGCAGCTTCACCACCTCCAACAGCTTCCATGTGTCCGTCGAGATCCATTCCTTGTCTTGTTTCCTCTTCCTTCCTAATACGGTTATGCATGTTTCTTTCCACATCTCTTTTAAGGAGTTCCAGTGTTATTCCACGCCAGATCCTTCAAGGATGTTGCTAAACGTCTCCCATTTTGTTCTGATGGCGGACGTGAAGATGTCCTTTGTAGTTTCGTCCTTCACTTCAGTTTCCGTTCTGGGTGTTGAACCGAACTGTGATCCATCACAAACTTCTTTGAAGACTTTCAACTTGGTTTGGAATGTAGGTTCCCTGTACTAGATAGTGAGTGGCGTGAACCTTCATCTGGATCTTGTGTCCAGTAGGCTGCATCTCCACTTTCTTCACATTGAGATGAAGTCCATCTGATAATTAGTGTGTCCATCTGGTGAAGTCCATGTCGCTTTGTGAATATCCTTGTGTTTGTACACACTGCCTCCAATCACCAAATCATTGAATGCTCAGAAGGCTGCAGACAGTTCTCCGTTCTCATTCATTTCACTGAGTGCTCCTCCACTCATGATGGGTTCTCTTCTTGTGTTGTCCGCTCCCAGTTTGTCATTCATGTCACCCATTAGAATGAATTTTGATGTCACCATTTGGTGTAGGGTCTTGTCCATTACTGATTGCAGTCGCCTGTAGAATTCATCCTTCTCTTCATCTGCATTATTTGTTGGCGCGTAACATTGTATGATTGTGAATTTCCTTCTTTTTGAGTTGAATCTTGCTGTCATAATTCTGCAGGAGGAGACTGGTTCCCACTGCATGAGAGCCTTCGATGTTCTTGGAGACATTATGATGGCCACTGTATAACTCAATGTGCTCGTGGTTGTCGTCTGTGTGGCAATATCGCAGTAGATTATTGACTCCTCTCCAGTTGACAGTTTGGAGAGTCCACTTCCATTTCCTCTGCTTTCGCAGATTCTTTGCACTTCTGTGGTATACCTTCTCACCTTTTTGCACTCTGGGCAGCCTTGCCAGCGAGCCAGCTTCAAACATTGTGCGGACATTCCATGTCCTCACGTTTACTTTATCTTTCGTCGAGAGTAAAGAAGACACATCGGCCAATTGGCTTCCGAAGGCTTTCACCAACTGGCGTCATTTCGTCCCTTCGATTCCAGAGAGGAATAAGTTTGTTTTCATTTTCATGGTTTCTTTGTGCTTTGAAGTTTCTTTAGCAAGTGGATTGGATTGGTTTTATGGGGTAGGGTTGCTAGCCCTATGCCCAACCTTCCCTCTTTACCCGGGCTTAGGACCGGCTAGTAACTAGTGAACTGGTTAACCAGGCAAGGTTCATGATGCATAATTTACTACAACATAGAAGCATCTTACCATCATTCCAAGAAGGCGAATTGTCAAATTAAGCAGTGTAAATTGCTCAGTTTTAACAGTTGTCGAATCTGAACATTCTGCTTCTCTGTATGGATCATTAATGCAAGAAATACACAAATCAACATTATACTGCTCTGCTAATGTGCCAAGTGTATAGATAAGTTACCTTATCATGATCCGTATCGTTGGTTCGAATGAATGTAGACAAGCAAACGCTTAAGGTGCCAAGATGAAAATATTACACTGAAGGCACAGGCCACTAGTTCAGGTTGTAAAAGAGAATTTAAGCTATTGACATAAAGTCCAAGAGATGTCAAAAATCAGTGGTTAAAAACTGGTTGATAAAGGCGAAATCTATCCCAATGACAGACGAATTCACTGGTTAGTTTCTTTGAGACAAGCCACAAACAGTTCCCGTAATACTTTGTTCAACAGTAAATATCTTCCTCTAGTTGTAGTGAGCAATAAAGTATGACTGAGAGAAAACACTACATTTTAGGAAATTGTTTCAATACCTATGAAGGCGGTTGACTTTACTGAAGAAGGAGAACGAATGTGTATAAATGGTGCTCTAGACTTTATTACACTTGAAAATGAGGATTACATCAAAATCTGATTTTACACAAAAGTGAAAAGCTTTGAAAAGTGTAAACGGTTCGTAAGAAAAAAGTAGTGAATAGGGAAGTAATTCAAGTGTTTAGGCCAGTAGAAAGGCTTATGTGCTGATACATAGTAAACCATTTGTTTTCTTGATCATCAAGAAACTTCAGCTGTCACGATACTTCGTAATCGAAGCACTTTGTTAACTATGGGTAGAGAAATGCCGTACATAACTAGACCTTCGGGTAAGAAATCGCCTTGACATGAAGCAGGGAAGAAAATAACAACTTACATTAACCTACATTGAGCTGAATCATTCTGAAATATGTCAGTGAATTCTTTAAATAAATGGGCAGAATAATTTACCATTTACCTAGAATGCTGTAATAGGCTGTAAATTAAGTCAGTCATCAACCAACAAGTTAGACGCTCAAATTCCGATTAACCTACTGAGTTTTGAACAGACAGGTGCCATCCATTAGTAAATATGGCTCACAAACTAGACTATGAACCTGCATATGGTTGCTGAGTTATGCATAAACGCATATCGCCAAAATATTTTACAGATATGAATAATTAAAATAACTTTTGATACCTTATTTCCAGCGATTATTTCCAAAGCAATAATATGTTTGAATTCTTTAACACGAAACAATTTTGCTACAGGTCCGTGAACACGACGCTTATCGAAATTAGGCTCTGGATCTGTGGGCTCGAATAAAAGTTGCGAGATCTCAGTTGCCATTGTGGAAGCTACATGCCGTAAGTCCTTTGCTTTCTTATCTAAGATAATTTGTCGTTCTATAAGCGAAAAAAAAAGGAATAAAGTCAAACAGAACAATTCAACCTTTATCTTATGAGTCTAAACGACTATATAAAGTACACTTTAAAAATGAGATGCCAGAGAGTAATACAGCATGTTTGCCAAAGATTATTCATTCTCATTGATATTTGATAAAATATAAAACCAGTCGGTTGCGTACTCTTCTGAACCAAACTCTCAGTTTTTATTGCAATCCAACGTTACTATTAATCTATGCCCATGTTCAACTGGTAAGTTGATCACATACTTATATACTTTAAAGTCACTCCTGAAGCCAGAAAACAATGAACGGCACTCCAGTGTTTTACACCATAATGCACTGACAAGACAGTCTAACTGAAAACATAGCCTAGCAGTATCGCCAGTAGTCTTTGCTATGCCAGTCTGAATCTTGAAAATGAGTTGGCGCTTTGTTATTTATTAGCAGCTTAAATAGTTTCAATGCACTACTAACTACAATACCAATTGATTAAGGATACACTTATAACAGGTTCGCGAGATGAATTTGACAGAATTGGTAATTTTCTGGAAAACTTTGAAGCTAAATTTATTGATTATTTGTGTTTCAGCTAATTCACCATACTTCATTATTAAGGATTACTAGTCTTACACAGCCCAGTACATGAACTCGTGCACGGTTAGCATGCTTCACTACTATTTAATGGAAATACACTAACATGTCCAAGCCAAATGTGCATAATTCTACAGAATAAATATGCATAAATATGTATATGTGAAATTTGAAAGAACTTACGGTCTTTGACTCAGTCCTTGTTGACAAACATCTATGGCTTTCCTACGCAAACTGATAAGTGAACAATACAGACTAAGTTGTAATATTCACTTATTTCAAGGCGTAGATGGAGAGGTTGACTCACCAATGAGAGCTGCCTGAGGGTACTTTTACAATGCCATCCTGATGTGTCAATAAGGCGATCACTTCCAGCGATTTTACACTGACAATCACATATTCCCCGTAAACACTAGCCATTCGGCATTAAAACTACCCCCACTATTTTTCAGCAGATCATGCATACTATGCTGGCAGGCATTCCAGGTGTTGCTGCATACCTCAGTGTCATCATAGTTGCCAACTGTCCGACGGAATTAACGAACCGAATATGGTTGATCCTACAGCGAATACTAGATAATAGCTTTCAACCCAGAAAGGAGAAATGTCAACTCTTTCTACAGTCAGTAGAATATTTAGGGTTTATCTTTGAGCATTCGGTCGATGCATCGAACCTGAAAATAGTTGCGCCATACAGCAGACGCTAACTCCAATAGATGTCGCGACGCTCCGATCATTTCTTGGTCTTATCAGTTACTACTCAGCGTACCTGGCCTACCAACACATGATATACAGGAATTGTTAAGTCGTCTCCTATGCAACGATGTCACATAGTCCTGGTCAAGAGAATGTGATACTGTCATAGAACGACTCAAGTCCACTATCAACTCTGACTTCCCGTTAACACATAACGACTCACATCTAGTAATCATCGTTGCAGATGCTTTCGCCACCGGTGCTGGGGCCGTCCTATTGAACGAATATCCGGATGGTTCACAAAAAGCTATTATACATGCATCTCGATCTCTCATATCGGTGGAAAAAAGCTACACACAAACAGAAAAGGAAGCACTTGCCTTAGTTTTCGTGGTCAGATGCTTTCACAAGTTGCTGTATGAACGAAAATTCACCTTGTTCATCGGTAAAAAGCCCCTTCTCTCAACCTTTTGGTCAAAACGTAGTATTCCAACTCATTTCACCAATAGACTACAGCGGTGACCTGAAACAACTGTTATGTAGAAAAGAATCCCTTTGTGTCGTCAGCAACTGCCTCATGTCCGGAGAACGCGTAGTAGTCCCTCAATCTCTTCGTGTAGAAGTCCTAAAACAGTTCCACACTGGTCATCCAGGAATAGAACGTATGAAAACCATCGCCAGAAGCTATATTTATTGACCTAACATGGATTCTGATTTAGCTGAATTCGTCGGTCTCTGCACACTATGTCAGAAGGCAGCTAAAAATCCTTCATGTCTGCTACCAAAGAGCTGGGCTAGAATCCATATCGATTCCACAGGTCCCTTACAAGGAACCTATTGTCTGATTGCTGTTGACGCTTATTCCAAGTGACCAGAGATCGTCACAGTATCGTCTGTATCATGACGCCGAACAACTGCTGCTCTCCTGTCATCGGTCACCCGAGACCATCGTTACTGATAATTAGTCGCAATCCATCTCGCATGAGTTTGCTGAGTTTTGCCATGTGAATGCTATCCATCACATATATAAACCGCCGAATCATCCGCAGTTCAATGGTCAAAAAAAGATATATATACCTTCGAGCGTGCCTTACTCAAGGTGGAAAGAGGAAAAGGGGTCACGGATGTCAACTTGTATTCACGTATCGCTCAACACCAAAAGATTTTTTACCAGATCGCAGATCTCTGGCGGTTTTGGTGGGAAGGAAGCTACGTATCCCAAACCACACAATGTTACCTTCACGTTGTGCACAAACAACATTTACAGTCATATCACACTTCAAAGAGATCACATCTACGGACGAGATTACAGACTAGGACAAGGAATGTGGACAGGTGTTGTTGGAATACGCGAGAGTGTGATCTATGACATAAAGGTGGATCAGGAGAAATGGGCGAGACACAAGAACCAGCTGCATCACACAGAGGCCAATCAACCAGAAAAAACTGACCATACCACTCAACATCCTCCTGAATACGTTCAAATTACCAACGACCCCAAAAGAATCCGAAACCAATATCAACAAGCAGCTCCTTCCCAGAAGATGGATGGAGGCAGTCTCAAACAGTGATTTCCAACTGACCCCAAAAAACCAAGGCATTATTGTTTTCTTTTTCAAAAAGGTGTTCCAAGGCACCAGATTCGTATGAAAGATTGTTTATTAATCTAAACATTTTTAAATTATCATCCTCGCACCATTTTCACAGCATGGTCAGTAGTTCATTAACCCCCTCCCCCATTTTAAAGGTAATTCGCTGACTGGTTAACGCTTGCATTTACTATGCAAACGTTTCTGGACATGTTTCGGGGGTTAATTGACTATTCTTCTCAAAGGTAAAAAATCTCCTATTCAGTCCAGTCTTTTCAACCTCGCACAGGGTTGGAGTCGGTGGATTTTGCGCAGCAAGTTAGCCGTCAGTCGAGCATGCTTATTGTGTTCCTTTGGAACATAAAAGTCAATCAGTTAAAATAAATACATAATATCACTACAGACCCAGATATTACAACGATAAATTCAATAAAACGAATAAGGTGAGGAAAAGAAATTCATGTTTCTGCATTAAATCGATCAATTACCTGCTACGATACACATAATCACAGATAAAAACTATCAATTTTCCTCCCAGGTTAACTCAAAACATCAAGTGAAATACTTTTCCACCTGGACCAGATAGGTAGTCAGAGACATCATGGATTGATGTCACATATTAGTCCGGTCGCCTTCAACCTCTTTCCAGTCTGAACCTGATTTATTTAATATTGCACGGTAGGGTAGACGATGACTAGACATGTATAGCACATATCTCAGCCACCTCAGTAGGTGAAGCCGTACAATTTCATCAATAAACTAACATCTTATGCCCAAAACCCTAAGCCTGACTCATACATCAATAACGTGTTGGTTGGACGCAGACACACACTATACTTCGAAGGTAATGCTGGTCGAAAACTCGCTCAGTACACTTAACGCTTGTGGTAAGCATTCGGCTTTTTCGTAGGTGCCAACAACGGCCGAACCTTTTCGTGCAGGGATTTCGTCGACCACTCGCCCATCGACACTGATCCAACTTCCCAAGTCAGTGAGATGGTCAACGTGCTTAAACACTCAACTCTGCACTGTCAAACAAGGCACCACTGAAGACCAATCCTGAAGAAACAATACACATTCAGTGGTGAGAAACGCATCTCAAACATTATCTGTTTGTCAATCAAGGTTAACGAAAGACTGCACCCTGTCAGCGTCCTCGCATAAACACGATTCCATCACCTGCGTACTTTAGGCTGACGAGAACGTCTCTCGTGACAACGTCAATCTCTGTAATGTCACACAAGGACATACACAATATTATAGGGAAGTCTACGACAAAACTAAATAAGAATGACGAGTGGATATCCTTCACAGCTTTAACATATTTCCGTCTACGAATCTACCGATGATCCAAAGGATGAATTCAATGAAAAGCTGTCAACCTTACTACAGAAAGCAGAACTTTCAGACATAGTCACAATGACAAATAACCATAACGCTCAAGTAGCATGCTGAACTAATCAGAAAGGCATCTCGGGGGTACTTATGGAATTCCATCCCAAAGAACCGATAAACGTGATTGACTTTTACAATTTCGTCCCGACAATCACTTAGTTCTGAGCAGCAAAAAATGTGAGTATGAGAAGAGACAGACTCACACGATAGCTGTCGTCGTCAAACCAACGATGGACACAGATAGATCATATTGCTAAAAGCTATCGTTGGAGAGGATCAGTGGAAGACTGCCACTCTTTCTGGAGTGCTTGTTCCGATCATGCAATAGTATGGGCACACGTATGTCTGAGCCTTACTCGTCTCAGAAAACAGACGTTAGACATACAGAGAAGGTAACTTTAACGTAAATTGATCAAGAATTTTCACTATAATCGCGAGGGATGGTGGGTGCTGAAAGCGAGACAGATGGAGAAGGTATCAACGTTGGGTAGGCTTATTAAGGATACCGGTAAGTAGAAGGTAATAGCTAGTGAAACCATCAACAAAAAGGATGGGACGCTGATAACCTCACAGGAGAGCCGGCTAGAAAGTCAGGCGGAACAATTTGAAGCACAGTTCAACTGGCTTACAGCAAAGCTTCACTTGCCCAGGCCCAGCATATACCCAGCCCAAAACTGAATGAGATTTACATGTCCACCCCCTAGTTGTCGTCGAAGTTGAGAGATCCATGTCGAATCCGAAATGATGCAAAACTGCTGGATCTGACAGTTTGCTACCCAAAACTTTGAAAGATGGAAGTAGGGAAGTAGTGTTGCAGTCCGTTCTGTCTTGTTACGCTGTCATGAGATGTGGCGATTGAAATCAAAGACTTTAGCACGAGTGTCTGAGCCTGAATAGACATGCAAAATCATAGCAGCAAGACCATGGTGAATGCTGCGTGATCACGAAAACACTAGGGCTGCCTTCAAAAAAGAACTGGCTAGACAGTTATTCGTGTACAACAGCATCAATAACATCGAAGAGGTATCTAACGTTTTTTGCGAATAGGGTAGCGCACATTCAAGAGCATTCCAAACCACACGAATGGCTTTATGTTGATTATATGAGTAACACAGCAGATGTCTCGAAGTCTAATGACAAAATAAGCTAGGAAGCCGAACCGGTGATTCCACGTCCTTTACTACAAAGGGACTCTAAATGGCCACAACTTGCCACACACAAAACACGTCTTGGGGTGGATAAACATGAAGGTCTGACAAATAATCAAACTTCCATCCTATCTTACTGTGTAAGAATAACTTCGAGAGTTAGACTATAACGCATGCTGAACCAAGATTGGATGTTTGAGGTTCTTAAAACATGTGAGTGCGATTGGACACTCATTACTTCCAGAGCCAACTACAGTGGTGGAGTGTGGGAAGGATTCATTAAAATAATCTAAACAACTTTGATGATCACTTGGAGAGAGAAACCAATAACCAATAAGATCATATATATGATACTTGCTGAAATTGAAAACATACTTAACGACTGTCCCATGGCGAAATTAGCAGACACACATGAGCCATCCATGCTCCTAATAAATCATTCTTTTTGAAAGGAAAAGGTTCCGTTGATGTAGAAGATATGAACTTTACCATCGAACACATCAGAATATGGCTACAACAGGCTCAAAACCTAGTTAGTCTGTTTTGGAGAAAGCGACGGCAACTTTATCATCCAGTACTTCAATCAACATTGTGGTGGCACGAACTAAAAACAAACAAGATTTTCTAATAGGATATTGGTCGAAGACAGTTGTCCAGAGCGCAAAGAAGGAAATGACGGTTTGGTATACATAACAACACTACGAACAGCGAAGAGCCTCGTTCAACGGGATTTGAGGCAGCTGTGTAAAAGTGAAGAAAAAATTGGACAATTCCCGAGTGATCAAAGCCATACTTAAGACATTAACTTGATCACAGTGACCCTGGGTTCGAGACTTTGATGGGCACTGCAAGATTTCTCACTGCTATTTAATTGGCTGTAACTGTGAGCTGGCATTCAGCCAGCTTACACTTGTCACTTTCACAATTTGTCAACCATGGCTTGCACTCTTATACATAGCTCTTCGAATGCAAGTAAAATATTGTATGTAGATTATTATTCCACATAGAACCACTAATTAGTTATGAGAAAGCCAGACAGTATTCCAACTTTATAAGTTTCTCAAGTGCGTTTATTCAGGTGAATATAACAACCCGAGCGCTAATAGTAGGCAAAACTTAATAAATTATGAGTGGAATATATCTGTAAAGACCCCATGGGGTAGAAAAATACATTTTTGACGTTTCGCGACTTTGTGGAAATCGCAGAAATCCACTTACTTAGTGTTTAACATATTCGTCTCTATCAGGCAAAATGTTGACCTTGAAGTCTATCATGATCAAATGAAGTTACAATTAATCGCAACGACCATAAGCTTTTAAAAACATTGAGTGAAAATTACATAATAAATATATTAGTAGTCAATGCATACATATCCACTCACCAGTTAGCTCATGCTCACTACCAAAAGCCTTATCATCTGCTTCAGCGCGTGCCAATAGTCGAGTGAGTTCTTCGACTTGTGCAATGAGTTCTTTATGCCTAACTTCCTCTTTTGATTCTCCACTAATTGAAACGTGTCCAAAAGCTTTAATTACAGCAGCTTCTTGCTTAGCGAGTTCATTTTGTAAATGTTTCCGACGCATTTGTAATTGTACCACTTCAGTCTCTGCAGAACTCTGCTCCCCATAAGCAGCTCTAGCCTGTTCTGCAAGGCTAGCAGCTACGCCATTTTCTTCACTGGACAAACCAGATTTCACTGCCTGAAAAAACAGTGAGTAAAATACGCTAAATAAAGTTGTGTTACCTTTTAATGTTTATTGCATTAAAAGCCTGACGAAACAAAGCACTAAATGAATCATAATATCTACAAGTGCTTCAAAACTACATGCAACGTAAATCAAATAACTCTAGAAAGGAACAATGATAACGTGATAAATGGATTTGGAATCCAGAACACTATACCACGCTGATTCAGCCAAGCTATATACCCTGGAAAGCATAGGTTAGTATGACAATATCTTACGTAAAATAACTATCATCACCAATATACCAATAAAATAACTGCGAGGCAGCACCACACACACTCATGACGAAATGTCAGATAATTCCTGACATTAAACTGAGCATATAATATGACAACAAACTTAGAAAGACAAATCTCCAAGGCGTCGGAACTCAAGTCATCATCCATCAATCATCAATATCAACATGGGACCAGGCATTACTGCGTTACGGTCCGAGTTGCCACACCTCACGTCAGTTCACGAAGTAGAAAGGTAGTGAGGTGAAGGATGAAGATAAGTGAATGCAGTCAAAAGAAATATAAAGTACGAGAAGAAAGGAAAGAGGAGCGACAAAGTGGTGAGATTCGGTATAGTGTAGTTAAGATGAGGATAATGTATGTATACATCTGCGCCACTGACATCGGTTCTCAGCCATATCACCTAGAGTCTCCAACCACTGGTTCCTCTTGTCCGCGGACCCCAACCACCTAGTCTGCATCGTCCTACATGGCTTAAACCAACAGTCAGAGACTCCATGCATTGGTGCCATGTTTTAGTCTGGCCTCCTAGGACCTTTTTCCAGCCTGGGCCTACTTCAGCCAACATTGTGTGACGAGGCAATCGGTGACTAGGAATACGTAACACGTGTTCCAGTCATCTCAATCGATGAAGGTTCATAACCTCATCAACTGATTTACCTCTTCTCCCTAAAACTCTACACCTGACTTCTGCATTACTCACATGGTAACACCACGGAATACAGCTTATACTACGAAGCCAACGGTGGTCAAACACTTGAAGCCTTCTTATATCTTCCACTTTCAATGGCCATGTTTCACAGCCATACAGTAGAACAGACTGGACTGCTGTGCAGTACACGCGACCCTTAATAGACAAATGGATATGACGGTGGCGCCATAGGTGGTGTAAATTGGCCAAAGCCAATTGAGCCTTTTGTATCCGTGCAGAAATCTCATCGGCAACTAACCCACCAGGGCTGATCCTACTTCCCAGGTAGGTGAAGTGGTCAACACACTCAACCACATCACTCTCTATTGTTAGCCGTGGCACCGCTGAAGACCAGTCCTGGAACAAAATTTGCATTGCGGTGGTGAGAACTTCATCCCAAACATTCTCAAATTCCCACTCAAGTGTTCAGATGACTCTACATCTTGTCAGCGTCTTCATCTAACAGGATAATGTCATCTTTATATTCTAGGTCTAACGAAAATTCTCCTCTGATTAGGTCAACGTCTGTATAACTTGGTGATGAGAGGGAGACCTCCACAAGAATATCTATGATAAAATTGAATAAGAATGGAGAGAGTGGGCATCCTTGACGGATACCATTCAATGAGCATGGCTCCCTGGACAGCTCACCATAGGCTCTAACACTCCCACAAGTGTTCGAGTAGAGAGACTTCAATAAGGTGATGTAATTACTCGGCACGCCTTTCAGTGAGAGACATTGCCATAAAATTTCTCAATCAACCGAGTCAAATGCCGCTACCTTCAGGTCGAGAAATACAACTACTGTCGGGCGTCTGTAGGCGTGCCTTTGTTTCAGGACCTGACGCAGTGTGAATATTTGGTCGATACACTCGTGGCTGGGTCTAAAGCCTGCTTGGTTTTCTCGGGCTTGTTGTTCCCGAGCTCTACTCAAGCGTCGGAGAATCATAGAGCCCAGAATCTTAGACACTATGTTCGTCAGGCTGATTCCTCTGTGGTTATCACAAGAGGACTTCTCGCCTTTCTTGAAGACTGGGATAATCAGTGATTCAGACCAGTCAGAGGGGATCGTATTTGACTCCTATATATGGTTAACACTTCCACCAACCTGACTAAGAGCACTCAACCACCATTCTTGTATACCTCAGCAGTAGTCCGTCTGGTCCTGCTGCCCTTCCTCGTTTCAGGTTACCTACCGCTTTCTCAACTTCTTCTAGTGTTGGGGGACCTATCTCAATGTTCCATTCAGGATTCGACTGGATAGCGGGCAACACAATGGTAGCTGGAGGTCATTTAAACTGTTCCTCGAAGTGTTCTGCCCATCGTTCCAGTCGTCTCCCCTGCGAGTGAATCACAGACCCGTCCTTCTCCCCTGTAGCCTCACTCAAGTATTTATTAACTAATCTGTTGGTCAAAAGGAACAACCAACGAGAAAAAGTCACAATCAAACAAGTTGCCACTACCTAAAATAGAAGCTCCATGATAAAGCGAAACACAGTAAGACGATGCCAGTGCTATGAAAAGAAACATACAGAACAAGACAATGAGGAAAGAAGGTTCAGTCAACAAAGACAAAAAGGTCCTAATATAAACTAACACGAAACGGTGAAAAGGAAGCTTTACATGGCCAACATACATTCAAACCACTAGGAACAATACCTTAACCACCGAGTCTCGTAGTCACAAAATACCCATCCGACAAGTCCACATCTCCTTACACAGACCAGGTAAGCAGTCAGACACTATGGATCGATGTCATTCAAACCTCTCACTCTGAGACCATTGCCAACCATCGAAGATATAGCAACCTAACTCCCAGTCTCATAAGACCACGCCATAGATTTCATGTTGGGCTTTCAACGTCCAAACTCTATGCCAAATGGGACAGCAAGCATCGCTCGCCACAACTTTGGAATCTTGAGTCATTCATGGCAGATTTTCGGTCAACAATGATTGTTAGATGATTGGACGGAGGATATAGATATCGAAAGCTTTGATTTATGGTTTGGAGCACGATTCCAGGAGACTAGGGATGATATTTCGTGAACTTGAATCGCTATTGTGGGTTGTAGAGCAGGAATAAACAAAGGATATGTCGAAAATGACAGACTGATATGATGGAAGATAAAAACGCAAAGATCTGAAAGGACGATGGTGATCAGATGGCGTCTGTGAGCTGACGTGAGGTCGGTTGGCACTTACTGGCTACCCGCAGCGTGGAAGGTCACTTTGTTTTAAGGTACCTAGTAAACTAGTCAATTAGCAAGGGCGATTTCGCCAAACTGCTTTACGTCTGGACCAGAATCCAGACCACCAGCACCAGAAGACCACAAGGCAGGGAATGGTGTGTAATTCTATGGCTAACGTTTTCACCAGTGTGTGAAGGCCACATAAACATAGGACGCTATTTACCTGCAGAAAACATTTCATGGGTTCTGCTATGACTACGGACTGGTAATCGTCAAAAACATAATCCAGAAAGTACTACCAATGACGTATCATGATCTTAGTAGGATCCAACCTATTGACCCTGTCTTGCTTTAGAAAGTTATATGGTCAGTTGTTATACGCATTTGAACACTCTGATTGGAATTTGAGAATGTTTGGGATGCAGTTCTCACCACCGAAATGCAAATTGTTGTTCCAGGACTGGTCTTCAGCGGTGCCCCACCGCGGCTAACAATAGAGAGTGATGTGGTTGAGTGTGTTGACCACTTCACCTACCTGGGAAGTAGGATCAGCCCTGGTGGGTTAGTTGCCGATGAGATTTCTGCACGGATACAAAAGGCTCAATTGGCTTTGGCCAATTTACACCACCTATGGCGCCACCGTCATATCCATTTGTCTATTAAGGGTCGCGTGTACTGCACAGCAGTCCAGTCTGTTCTACTGTATGGCTGTGAAACATGGCCATTGAAAGTGGAAGATATAAGAAGGCTTCAAGTGTTTGACCACCGTTGGCTTCGTAGTATAAGCTGTATTCCGTGGTGTTATCATGTGAGTAATGCAGAAGTCAGGTGTAGAGTTTTAGGGAGAAGAGGTAAATCAGTTGATGAGGTTATGAACCTTCGTCGATTGAGATGACTGGAACACGTGTTGCGTATTCCTAGTCACCGATTGCCTCGTCACACAATGTTGGCTGAAGTAGGCCCAGGCTGGAAAAAGGTCCTAGGAGACCAGACTAAAACATGGCACCAATGCATGGAGTCTCTGACTGTTGGTTTAAGCCATGTAGGACGATGCAGACTAGGTGGTTGGGGTCCGCGGAACAAGAGGAACCAGTGGTTGGAGACTCTAGGTGATATGGCTGAGAACCGATGTCAGTGGCGCAGATGTATGCATACATTATCCTCATCTTAACTACACTATACCGAATCTCACCATTTTGTCGCTCCTCTTTCCTTTCTTCTCGTACTTTATATTTCTTTTGACTGCATTCACTTATCTTCATCCTTCACCTCACTACCTTTCTACTTGGTGAACTGACGTGAGGTGTGGCAACTCGGACCGTAACGCAGTAATGCCTGGTCCTATGTTGATAATGATTGATTGATTAGCTGGGCACACAGACAGGCGGACAAAATGAACGTAAAATCGTGCACATTGGTGCATCGGCTCAAGTTGCCACATTTCACAGAAGTACGAAAAGAACAAGTGGATAGAAAGACTGATATCGAAGAAGATAAAGTCATAAAAGAAAATAAACAATCTTAAGATAACGGTTGGTACAAATATTCAAGCTTCAGAAGACATAAAGGAGTGAATACATGTGGGCCATTGTGACTGATTTTCAGCCATATCTCGAAGACTTCTCAATCATTGATTAGTTTCCCCTTGGACACTCGAAATAGGCAGTCTACATTTCCCAACACAGATCAGACAGACAGTTAGGGTCACTATGAACCCCCTTCCGACTTAATCCAACTTTCCCTAGCATGTCACTTTGAGGTAGGTGGTGGCTTGACATGTGGCAGCACATATCCAGATCACTTCGGTCGGTAAGAGTTCACAGCCTCACCAATCGACTAGCCCATCTGGCTCATTTCCCTTCGCCGTACCACACTGCTCACGTAGTGATTCTACAAAACGCGATCAATAGTACGAAGACACCTATGACCATAGCTCTGGAACCACTTCCTGTCTGTCGTACAACAGGCCAAAACAGACTGCAATTCGTCCTTTGACAGGTAGTCGGGTATCTCATCAGTCGGTGCCACGCACGACGCAAGTTGGCAAATGCCAAACAGGCCTTCTATATCCGAGCTGAGATTTCGTCAGCAGCCAACCTGTTAGGGCTGATGCAACTGTCCAGGTAAGTGAAGTGGTAAACGCATTTTACGAATTCGCTTCCTATCCTTAAACGAGAAGCGGTTGCAGACCAGTCTCCGAGCATCATCTGACATGAAGGGTGTGAAGCGTATGCCGAACATCCTCAGACTTCTGGTCAGGGTGTTCAGAAGACCCTGCATTTCGTCAGTATCTTCACCTAATGGGACAATTTCGTCTGCATACTCCAGGTCAAGCAGATACCATCCAAGGAGTAAATCAATCTGTGTGAATTCAGAAGTACCTAAGGACATGTCTATTGGCACATATATAAGGAAATTTCTATCAGTTAGATGGATGAAAATTAGTTGTAAATACTGATAATAGCACCTAACACGATTAGAATCTGTTACCTACTGGTTGATCATGAAATGACAGAACCAATAGCGCACAAATCCCACAACTGACCGGAGAAGAAAAAGTCAAGGTACTACCTGAGAACAGAAAACCAAATGGTAAGGAAAAATTTAGACGCGTATAAGCAACATGGAACAGTATTAATGAATCAACACTATGGATTGAGACAAAATAGTTTGCAACCTATAGTCTGGGTAGTTTCAAGGACCCTGACATGGAAGCAAACATTCTCACAGCACATGATCTCCATCACTTAAATATACAAAATATAAAGGAATCACAAAGTCAACAACCCCAGAATAATTTCAAGTGACCCAGAATAACTGGATCACAAGTATACACAATAACCAATTAAGAAACGCACGTTTTAACACCCTAACAATGCACGACGTCTCAATAATATCCTAGTTCAATCCCTTACTTTCAATGGAAAAATTAACAATAAAACGCTTTGTGGCGCAGAACACCAAAACCGGTTTCAGAAGATGAAGTGATCTTCAAATTCAATGATGTTTTATGCGAGGCCCAAGTTTTAATTTCACCTTGAATCAACACCTAGTATCAAGTTAAGAATGGGTTGCTTTGCGCTTTTATCGCACATGACACTGAGAAAAAAAATCACTAACGTTCTTTTCCAAACAGTGAAATAATAACTTCCAGATTCCATGAAAAATTTACCTTCCAGTACACTGAAATGTCATGTAGTCAACGTTAAAAAAGGATCGGTTAAGTAACCTACACATTCTAACAATACGAAGATTATAACACAGCCTCCAAAATAACTTCATGATATAGATTAAGTAACCTGCAGCGAAAACCACTCCCGCTCTCCCGAAATGAAACAGAACAAGGCTTTTATATGGGTGGTAATATCAGTAGACATGAAATAGTCATTTTATAACAAATTTGCGGACATACCTGCAAACGCTTCTGTGCTGCTTCAAGTTTGGCCTTTGCTTCTTCAGACTGGGCTAAAACAGCCTGGTACTCGACACCAGCAGCGGCCTCAGCAGCCTTATGTTTAGCAGACAACTGTTCATCAAGCTCAGAACACTGACATTCCAAAGATTTTACGAGCTTCCTAGCCGCCCGCAAACAATCTGATGCTCTTTGACAAGCTCCTTTTGCAACTGCCTCTGTTTTCTGGCACCTATTCATGGAAGAATCTAGTTCTTCAAGTGCTCCACCTTGATACTTTACGAGAAATCTGTACAGATAAACCAGTAGAACCTACTTCATCTCTGAGACTACAGAGTTCAGATATTCGGTTTTCTACAACCTCCTTCGATTTCTTCAACTATAAAATATATACTATGGATAACTTTATGGACAAACTACCACACCTCTTCCATACGAGCTTTATGTTCATCAATCGAATTTTCAAGTGTAACCAAGTCAGTTTTTGATCGTTGTTTTAACTCCTTCATAAAAGATGCATTAACCAAAAAACAATTACTAACCTCTAAGCAAGTATATTCATAAGCGATGAGAAACTTTTCTAGATGATCAATTTCACGTACAGCGTTCTGATATTCTAGATAGCTGCTTCGTTCTTCACGTAGTTTTTGAATAGTGGGATTAATGTCTTCGGCTAGAATCTGAAGGAGATACAATGACCTATATAAGAGTAGAAAGTTACCCTATCTATTTCTCTCAGTTTAACGTCTTTTCTTTCTATAGTTTGAAGAGCTGCTAACTTCTTGTTTTCATATAGTTTAGTACTTGCAGCCTCCTCTAATAGTGACAGGATCTGCAAGACAGATTTGAATACAAGCAATTAACATTTATCCTTTTAGCATACCTCAGGTGGTTTCATATTCAGAATCTTGGTGATTCTACCCTGCATTATTAAAAAATGTGGGTTATTTACATTCAGCTGAACAGAATGAAATAAATCGTGCACTCGTGTCGCCGTAGCATTTGTTCCATTAATAAGGCATTTACTTCTTCCACCAACAATAATTTGTCTTGTGATTGTAAGCTCATCAAACTGTTCATAGCCACATGGGGATTGCGACTTATCACTGTTATCAAACACGGCGGTAACAGTTGCCTTCCTGATTCCTGCTTGACCACATTTGTATACTAATTCGTTTAGGTTTGCAGCTCTCACCTAAAACGTCATGTTACAACAAACACTATCAGCTCACATGAGAAAGATTTGTAATTCCGAGTAAGAAGCATATAGCATCGAGAATATTCGACTTCCCAGAACCATTCAAACCAGTAATTGCATTAAACCGAGGGTCAAATCCATTGATTTCCGTTCTCTGATGATACGATTTGAAACCATCAATAACTAACGACTTTATGAACATTATGAAACACAAAGCACGATCAGGTTCAGGTAGAAGATAATCTAGAAAGAAAACACACAAATTACTTTGTAAGATATTATGCACATTAAACCCAGCCAGCACTAACTTCGGGCGCACATTGTGAGTTTCGGGCTAAAACCGAACATTTTACTTCGGGCGCATATCGGGTGACGCACGACATCCCCCGAATGTTCCAAACCTTTTCCCCAAAAGTGTCAAAAGTCACGAAGTACGCCCTAAGTTTCTGCAATGCGCTTAAAGTACCTAAAGTGTCTGTAGTGCGCCCGAAAATTTGTAATAACCCATATCCAAAGTGATGAGAAGGCCTAATCCGTAATATTTTTACCTGAATATTTGACATTTATGTGCTATATGTGTTTATGTTATATGAGTCAATAAAATGTTAGCGGCCAAGTGAAATATTTGTGAAATTTAGGGGGAATACCCGAAAGTTCCAAAGAGCGCCCAAAGTAAATGCTGGCTGAAAACTTTATGACAAGCATTGGCTAAATTCCATACCCACAAGCTAATCATCTATGAATACTAGATTATATATAAATATTAATATTAAGGTAGCTCTTGCACACCATTTGTTTCAATACGAAAGACACAGTCTTCATAAAGGCTATAAAACAACAGCCTCTATTTTAAGAATCGCAAACAGAACCGCATCATTTAAACAAGGTACAAACAAACAAATATGCGTTTATAATGTTAACGTCGAGTAAATAAATGTAAAAAGAATGCAATGCCAACATTAACCCCTTTCGGAAACACGGAAATGAGATGTCTATGTTGTAAGGTGAAATTCAGAAAGAAGAAAAATATTTACAATTGCTAGGTTGAATGCATTTTGTAGTTAACTGGTTACAGAAACAAGAAGGTCGAAAAAAATTGTTGGTGCAAAAGAATTGAACGAAGAAGTGACAAAACGGTGATGTGACTGGTTTTGTGTGCAAACAGAAACAGTCTGTTATGAGCAATCTATTTAGTTGTTGTACTGCACATTAGATTCCTGAAAAATCAAATGTGCTCGTAGCAGATACAACGCCTGCAATGAACAACTTGGGAGTGGAAATTTTAGGGTTCTTAAATGAAATATTAATTTCCTTATGAGAGTTTAAATGTATACCGTATGAGGTGGGTGTTTACAAATGTATATATATATATATATATATATATATATATATATATACTGTGATCCAGAGTATGATTGCCAGGCAGGTATTACACGAAATACAATGACGCACTTGCTATGAATACTAAGGGAAATAGGTATAGTTTGGTAAACAGGTCCTCAAGGATGGTACGTTCCATATGATGTGGAACAAATGGACGGATCTTGCTACAAGAAGTGTCTCATGCTAGAAAGGCATTGTCTCCTGGGCTTCTAGTGAGTTACGGTGATGGGAATCTTGAACATGTTAATTCGTCTAGCTGTGTCCACTCTCTGAAGTTTCGCGATTTCATCAGAGTTGACATTCATGTTCCCAATACTTTCCAAGTGCACGCGCGGCAAGGCGTCAGGCTGAACAAACTGTATGTCATCGTGAACTGCATATCCTTTTGAATCGGGAAATGTACTGAAGATTCCGGAGTTCTCGGAGAATAATCATCATGATGTACTGGCATGGCTTTTATAAGAGCTTTATAATTGGCGCAGATGCTAGACAGTGTCTCCTATCATATATTGAAAATGTGTAACTGTCAAGTAAGCTGCGAGTAGTTCTCGTGCGAAAGTTCCTGATCCCATTTGTGCAGAATCCAACCGTTTGTAGAAGAGTAGTGGTTGTCGAATGCCATTAGGAGCCTGTTGAAGATCTGCCTCAATAGCTACTTCCGATGCACCTCCCGTAAGTCCTATGGCAGAGTTTGCTTCACGACGTGCCGACAAGGTTTGAGAACTGAAAGCCACTTCGAACTTGTGAAATGCTTCCTTTGACACATCACTTGTGCGTAGTGTTCCCGCCCAACCGTTCATTAAGTATGTTAGTGACTCAGGTAACGAGGAATGAGGTGCCGACGGAAACTAATCACCCCGAGGAGCCTGCATAACTTACGGAAAGAATCTGGTGTGGGGAGTTCTTCAGTGGCTGTAGCTTCACTGAGTACTGCACTGACACCATCCACCTTGATAACTTGTCGTGGAAATTGAAGTGACTCCTCTCGGAACTCACATTTCTGTACATTAATGACGCCTTATCCGTAGTCTTTGGGAAAACGTTCGCAAGTGTTGGAGATGTCCCTTATGTGAGGTGTTTGCTACCAGGAAGTCATTGAGTCAAAGTATGAAAATTTTGGCCTCTAAATCTTTAAAAGGTTTGGGCTGCATTTGTCAGAGCTAAAGAGGTTTTGGGTAAATCTGAATGATCTCAGAGGAGTAGTGACTGATGCTTTTGGAATGTTTGAAGGTTCCGTGGACATGTGGTGGTATGCTTATGCCGGATCCATCTTCAAGGTGTTTGCGTTTGAAACAAGACTAATCCAGTCGTACATGCACGGAATAGATTACTTATCTGCAAGCGTCTGTCTGCTCATCGATCACAGTGACCGCATTGTTGCATTTCTCCCGATGTCCTGGAAACCACTTGTAGCAGTGATGACCATGAGCTCAGTTAGGGGCGTACAACCCCTAACTGCAACTGTTTATCTTACTGCTGTTTCGCTATATGGAGTTTTTCTGGATCTAATCGTGGAGATCTCAATGGGGTAGATTGACTTTTAGTGATAATATGATGAGTAGCATTATGTTTCGATGAATAGTTGATCTAGTCAGAAGCTTGAGTTCCAGAAATTCTTTCAATATGCTCTCGTTAAACTTCTTCTAGCTTAGATTCCCATGTCAATGACGCTGCATCATTACCTGAGGACAACCTGACCTCGTTTCACCACCGACTGGTCCCAGACATACTAAACACTGTGGAGTATGACATAACCCACCTAAAAATATTTCTTATTAACACCTGGTCCGCGGTAAACAAACTGTGGTACACAAAATCTCAGATGCTGGTTGACCAGCCTGGAGCACCACTAATCACAGTAGCTTGGTGCACTTCTGGACTGAATGATGACCTCTCTAATTGTTAAGGGTACCCACTTTTCAGGGATTATAGATCTGATGGCCATGGCTGTGGACGTGTCATAAAAATCAAGTCATGCTTTGAAGCCACCAACTAAGAAGACCGCGAATCTCGAAATGAGCGATACTTCACTAGACCTTTCCGGTCGTAAAACTCTTCAAACAGGCTATGTTTATGGCCCAAGGCCACAGTAGTAAATTGCCAACCAGAATAATTGAAGCTTCCAATTATACTTCTACATTAAATCTTACCCACAAGATTATTGGAAGATTCTCTAATATACTTGAAACTGGTTGGTATCCGATTCGTGTTCTACCTCGATATAAGGGCTCCCTGAACGCAGTTGGATCCTGTAGATAGACAAAAAGTGTTTCGAAACCTACTCAAGACCATAGATTTCTTGGCTTATTACCCAATAAGGACATTCTTCTCGCCTATGTAAATGTTAGTCCGCCGTTCCCATGCAGTAGCCGCAACATACTTATCACCTTCTCCTACACTAAACGGAGATCTAGTGTTAAACAACCTTTTTGCCGATGTACGACAGTCACGTTATTCCACACACCTTGATGAGAAGAATATGCCTATTTATTATCAATATATATGAGATAAATATTTGCACGTGATCTACTTGCTTTATCCGCTGCTCAGATAGGGATCTATTCTTCTCACGCAATGACAGAAACTGCTCTACTAGCGCCACATGCTAACTTCTCCCTGTGTCTTAGTGAACTAGTTCCTAAACTTACTGTAAGGTAGTAACGCACCGAAAAAATCCTTATTCCTAGCTGTGTAGAGGCTAGACCATGTTGACTTGACTAACAATAATCCAAATGTTGCAGAAATTTCAGCCATCATCAATTCGATGATGCTGTTAAACCGACTTAATGTCACAATAATCAACACCATTAATCTCAGCTACTTTTGTCTACATTCAAGCAACTGGGGTTAGTATGGTGGATCTCATATTCTGTGGGCTCTAATATTCTGAAGATACGTGTTTCTATGGGTGGCGAATTCTTATATTACTGCTGTGTGTGTGAGTTTTTCAGCAAAATGTTTGCTTCCAGCTATCTGCCACTAACGGAATTTTCTAATTATACAAATTCAACATGTGGCATCCGCCAGCCCCATTTCACTCAGTGGAATCTACTCTCACCACCGAATTTCCGTATGGTAACATTGATCGAGCTATTGGAGCTGTCCAGGCTCCAGCAGTCCATGTACAGGTGGGATAGCATCGTCTTTCTTCAGACATGGTGTCCCTGAAATTTCGATATCATTGCTTAAGCTATACCCCATTTCTTTGAGAGCTTCCACATACCCCGGGCTGTGGAAGGCACCTTTCGTCTTACCTCAAAATAAATAAGACGCAAAGACTGGGGTGAATAATTGCCAGCAGATAAATATTACGCCAGTTATTTTGGAAGTTATGGAAAAGATAGCTGGAGAAAACGTTCTACGGGACATGTTGGAAAACAGCTTTGTCACTTCTGGTCGGCATGGGTTATTGGATTCATTTTCAAGCATGACCTGCCACTACGACTCGTCAACTGCGTAACCACTAGCCGTGGCCAACGCCTATTGCTTGCGATCCTCTATTTTAACATCTTCAAAGCTTTTGGCCGCGTCAACCATTATCTAGCATTACGAAAACTTAAGGCTCACGAAACAGAATACTCCATGCTGGGTGGGATCAAGTCCCCTTTACCAACTATTCACATATGGAGAGAATTTGGTTCCACCTTTCGACACCTACAGCCACCACGTCTGATGTGGTTTAAGGTAGTGTGCGAGGCCCTCGACTTTTCGTCCCTTCACCAATGATCGCAGCTGTCTCAAAGATAGTAAACCGTTTCTGTTTTTTGATGGTCCGAAGGAAGTCCACACATTCCCCGTTGATGACTTAAACTGCTTTCAGACGCTTGCATGGAAGGAACCGGACCACGTTACCAACTGGTCTACGGTATGAAAGCTTCGATGCGATACAGACAAGTGCACTGGGTATGCCTTGGTGCGCCCACCGCCGACATGTAACTAAGTCTGCAATCTCTGGGGCCACCTGTCCTCCAGACTTTCTATGGCTTGGGTCTGAGGTATTCTAGTGACATCGTATTCACTGATGATATTGCAACTCGGACATGAACGTCGAGAATTCTTCTAGGCCGTATAATCCTCAATTTCTACAGCCATGGAGAAAAACTCCCTCCCTACAAGGTTGGCATTAGACCACTGATGGAATACTGCTCATTCTTTTTGGGTGGTTTCCGTATAAGCAACAAATTTAGGACAGTTAGTGTCCAGGGGTATTTCACATCCAGCCTGTCAGGGCACGAATATGGACAGGGTTGTACGTCTAGATATGCGCCGGTTGGGTTGCAACCACTTTGAATGGGACGACTGAAGATGCATCCTGTTTTCTTGCTGAGGATTCTGCACGAAATATTGTTCTCAGCCGGTCATCAACTTCAATTCTCCTATATAAGCTGTTGTGAACTGCGCAGCCATGCTGACTTCTTTTCTTTGAGTTCTCCTTAGCATGGGGCCACCTCCATGCGGGAATTAAAGCCTCTGGCTCACTTATTTTACTTTAGTCATATT